TAGGTAGAACTTTGGTTCTGCTTGCATCAAGTTTACAAGTGTTGGAAAAGCAAAGTCAAGTAGAAAAGTTACAGTTCTCATTGGGAACCAACATTAAGCATAATATGAGGCTGGCTTTGTCTGTCTGGGCAGCATAAAGAGAATGCTGTGTGGTTTCTAAACAATGGGAGTTTACTTCTCATAATTCTGGAAATGCAGCATTAAGGTGCTGGTGAGTGCCCGCACTGTTCACATGCAGTCATCTCTCCTTGTCAGTTAGCAGGGACAGAGGGCTGAGTGGATGCCTAGAAGTGTGGCTGGTACGAAGTCCTGTGTGTACTGTGTTTCCCTATACATACAGAACTATGATAGTTTCGCTTATAAATTAGGCACAGTAAGAGCTCGACAATAATAACTGATTATAAGCTAGAGTAATTACAACAATACACTGTAATAAAAGCATAAAGATATTTAAAGAGCTGAAATGACTACTAAGGGACTGATGACAACATGCTGGGCAAAGGGATGATTCATGTTCTGGGCAAGACAGAGTGTGATGGTGTGAGTTTTCATCATGCTACTCAGACACGTGCTATGCATTGTTTATTTCTGGAATAGCCCTGTGCAGTATTTTCAGGCTGTGATTGGTGTGGTTTCAGTCACCAAAATGTGAAGTCGTGAATGAGGGTGCTACCGTATAGTCATTTATTCTCCATGTTGTCACATTCGGGAGGGTTTAGGGAGCCTTCTGGGTTAGGAGGGCACAAATCCCATTCACCAGGGGAACACCCTCGTGACCTAGTCACTTCCCAAAGCCCCCACCTCCTTGTGGTTTCAATGTTTGAATTTGGGGAGGACAAACATTCAGAGCCTAGCAGAGGGGAAGTCGTTTGTCTTGAAGGGAGAGGGCAGCGCAGATATGGCCATCTGGCGGGGCCATGGAGAGCTGCCTCAACTTGTGTTCATTTATAATATGGATGTTTGATTTGTTGATTGAATTTTGTGCTCTCTGCTTTTACCTGCCTGTATCATACACAGTTCTCTTTCCCTCACTCCAATTTTCATCGTCCTTTAACTGTTTAGCTTTTATTACTATCTCAAACTGAGTTTTGAAAATGCACTTTTGAATGTGATTTCTCCCAATGTCTATAGGTGTTATACCTCAGTAAAGTTAATTTTTTTAAAATTGTGTGTTGTGTTTTTTTTAGAGCAGGTTGAGGTTCACAGCAAATTGAGCAGAAAGCACAGTTTCCATGTGTCCAGCACATGGAAATCTTACACAAAAATCTTACTCATTTTTGCTTTGTAGTTTTGGCCAATTACTAATATTTCTGCATGCCTGGAAAATTACTGTATCAAGCATAGTGGAGTGTGTACATATATATGTTGATTCTCAAAGATAAACATCTGAAACACATGCATATGTATGTAAAATATATACACACATGCATGCTGATTTTTCATAATGCACACATGAAACATGTTATTATACAATGTGGTGTCAATAAAGTTATTTAAAAGGTCACTATTTTCAAAATTTTTGACATATTTAGCTTTTCATGCTTGAATCTGGTGTTTTGAAGCTGACTCCCAACTCTACATTCTCAGCCTAGTGCTTTTTTTTTTTTTTTAAGAAAAAAAAATACAGAACTGGGGCACAGGCCAGAGTTGTGGGGGTTGAGAGGATTCACCAGAGACAGAGTGGGGAGCAGAACAGGCAGATGGACTGAAATACACTGCTGAGGGGAGCAGCAGGCGGGTCAGCTCCCTGGCTGGGGATCGAACCTGTGCTGCAGTGGCTGCAGTCAGCTCATAGTGCTGCACTTCAACCTGTTGCGCCACCAGGGAGGGTCCGGTTTTTTTTAATTGAAGTAAGATTTCGTGTGTGAGTTTCAGATGCTCATCACTGAGCATGGACCTGCGCACTGAGGTTCGGTTCCATCCTTTTCACCCGACCACTGTTCCCTGGGTCCTGATTTACTCACCGCCCTTTCCCTTGCCTTTTGGGGAAGCAGGAGTTGGTCTTGTAGTCCACAAGTTTTTTTTATTTAGTTCATCTGTTTTCTCTACATACCACTTCTGAGTGAAATCATATGATGCCTGGTTGTCTTTTTTTGATCTGGCTTATCTCACTAAACATAATTCCCTCTAAATCTATCTGTGCCGTTGCAGATATATTGTTGCGGGCTTTCACCTTTATTTATTTATTTGGCAGCTGAAGAGTATTCCATTGTATGTAGACCACATCTTCTTTATCCACTTATCAGTTGATGGGCTTTTAGGTTGTTTCCAGGTCTTCATTCTTATAAATACTATTGCGATGAACATGGGGGTACATACACATCTTCAAGTTAATATTTTTGCATGTTTTGGGTAAATATCAGAAGCGGAATAACTTAATCATAGGCAAACTCTATATTTAGTTTCTTGAGAACTCTTCATACTGCTTTCCACAATGAATGCACCAATTTACAAGGCCACCAACAGTGTACACAGGCTCCCTTGCCATGTCTGCTGCGATACTCGCTGTTTCTTGTGTTTGGGCAGTAACCATTCTCATAGGTGTGCGGGGATATTTTGTTTTGATTTCCATGATGAGCGCCTTTTCATTTGCATTTGGCCATTTGTATGTCTTTGGAAAGTGTCTCTTTGGATCCTTTGCTCATTTCTTAATTGGGTTGCTATTTTGTAACTGTTGAGTTCTATGAATTCTGTGGATATTTTGGATATCAACCCCTGTGGGGTAGTTGATGCGCAAATATGTTCTCCCATCTAGCAGGAAGTTCTTTCTTGTACATACGTTTGTCTGATGGGCAGCATCTGGATATTCTGCTGACCTTTCCAACTCCACATATCCAGGAACTCTTTCCTGAAGGATCAATATTTTAGCCCCTGTAACACATTCCCTGTGTTCCCCATGTCAAGGAAGGCTTGGCCCACCCACCTACTCAAGTCAGAAATCAGGGACTTGATTGTCCTGGTCTCTGCTTTGTCATCAAACACATTGAAACCTCATGCCTTGCAATGGTAGAATTCACGAGTAAATTCTGCCTTTGCCTTCGCTGGTGTTGCTCCCATTTAAAACCTCGACATCTAGTCTCACTGGATGTGGAATAGAGAGAGTCCATACCACAGGTCAGGGAAAGGCAAACCTAGAAACCAGCCCTTGAATTCTGATGGCAGAACTGAAGCGTGGCTTGTGGGAGGGAAATGCTGTGTTGGGTGGTGACAAAGTAGGGAGGGAGTGCAGGAACTCTGTGGGGGACTGTGGTTGCTTTGGTAGTGGGAGTGCTATGGTATCATCACTGGATGTGGGGGATGCTGTGTTTCCAACATCACCGGATGTGGGGGATGCTGTGTTTCCAACATCACCGGATGTGGGGACCCTATGTTTCCAACATCACCGGATGTGGGGACCCTATGTTTCCAACATCACCGGATGTGGGGACCCTACATTTCCAAAGTAGAAACAACATAAACTAACGTTACCTCCAAAAATTTAAACTTAGGAACAAAAACAACCCCTCCATCATCCCTGGCCCGGGCTCGAGGGCCAGTCTGCTCGCTCACCTGCCTGCCTCCACTGTTGCCCTAACAGTGCTTTCCCACAGCCATGGCAATCTCACCTGTGGAGCTGACTGTGCTGCTTCTAACCTCGTAGAACCTCCCTTTGGAGGAGAAAAAGCCAGTGTCTTTCTGCTCTGACCCCTCTGCCCATCTTCTGTCACCATCTCCCATCGCCTTATCCCCCAACCTCACTTTCTGGCTTTGCAGACTGAGGCCTCCTACACAGGTGAGATAGTACAGTGACTAAGCACACACTCAGGTACAAATCAAGGCTTCGCCAGCGGGAGCGAGTTGCATGAAAGCTGTCTGAGCCTCAGTGCCTTTATTTATAAAAGTGATAGGCTGACTACTTGATAGGATTGTTACGAAGAGAAGCTATATTAATGCTGCTCAAGACACTTGGCATAGGGTAAGCGTTTGCTATTTGGTGGCTCGTTATTCAGGGTGGGCGGTCCACTCCATCCCTCACACATTTGGTTTCTTAGTTTTTTGTATTCTTTCATTTAGTGGTTATGTCCAGACCACCTACTAGGTACCAGCATTCTAGAAGCTAGGAAAAAAAAAAAACATTGGTGCATCAGAATGAATTTCTGTTCCCTTCATGCTGTAAGACTGAGCTTCCTAAGTCCAGGATGCTCTATACTTCCCTGGTGTATATAGTCAAATTTCTTTGTTTCACTTACCAACTTTTCATGCTATAGAGTTAATGGTTTCTAGTGGGCTTTACTATTCGAATGTCATTTTCTTGCAAGCTGAGTAGAGACTTTATTTTATTAATTCATGTCCTCTGAATACTAACCAGGCCTGATAATCATTGACTTAAATGAACGGAATGGACTTGTGGAAGGTAATCAGTGAATGTTGCTTGGATAAAACTACAAGTATAATTCCATAATACAGTTTTCTTCTGCAAGTATTTCAACTCCTTGCTTTTCGTATGACTTCCTATGATCCTGCTTCCGAATTCAAGCTGTTTTTACAGGACGGCAAGCAATTTGACTACACATAACTATTTATTTATTTTTGGATTGTATGGCTTTTCTATTTTCAGCTTTTTAAATTGCTTTTTTTTTTTTTTTTGTAATTCATATACTTTTCGCATTGTCGTTCATCCTCCTCAGGTATAATTCCCTATGAGATTACCACCACTGAGAGACTCGTGCTAGAGACATAACTAACTTTCAAATGAAGGTGCAGGTGGACCTCTTGGGAACATGGGGTTGACTGTAGTCTGAGAAAATTCCATGTTGTGATCTTTATAAATCTGCCCTGCTAACCTTCGTTAGTTTTATTTTCTATTTTATGCTTTTAGATCTTATCAGAGTCCATTTTTAAAATGTTCTTTTAGTGGCTTTTATGACTTTAAAATTGTTTCTTTTAATTGCACATTTTCTGATGCGGGTTGGTTGTGTATTTTCATCGCTGCTTCTTTCTGTTCTGCCTTCTCTCTACAGGCTTCCTTCCCCGGGAGCTTGCACTTGGTGTTGGTTCTACGCCCCACCAGTTTTCTTCAGCGAACTTTCACAGACATTGGGTTTCGATTTAGTCAGGAGGACTTCATGCTGAAGTTACCGGTGAGAGTATAGTATTTAAATGTTTTGTCCCTTGAATTCTCATGAAGACTTGACACTATGCTGTTGATGTATTCCATGTGCCTGCAAAGCATTTAAAGGAATGAAACAGAACTTGCCTTCTCCAAAATGTAGATTTCAGAGGCCTTTCTGCTTCTACTGTTAACATGAAGGCATTGATTCATCAATGTGTAACAAAGCCATTCCTCTTAAAAAGTACATGTCATAAATGTTATATGTATACATGTATACGTACGTGTGTGTGTATATAAAGTCAGTACACTTTATTTTTAGTACAAGTGTGTGTTTTATGTATTTGAACTCCCAGGAACTTACATCCTGAGCTAGTTCAAAGGACCATGTTCCTTTTTATTTTTAAAGATATTTTGATATGTTCTTAGGGTTAAGAGGAAAGTACTCATAAATTTTGATACTTTTGCAAAGATCAGTCCCTCCTGATAAATTCTAACTTACCGCATAAAACCCTTTTACTTTGTCATAGGCATGACAGTCTTTCAGAAGGTTGGCCGTTAGCAGCACATGATTTTAGATCAAGGAGCACTAGGTGGTTGGGTTTCTATGGAGATTCATTTAGCTTTTGTAAATGAAAACCTGTTTTGTAAATGAAAACTGTTATTCCTAGAAGAAGATAGTGCACACGTGGGGAGGAGGGTGGTGTAGAGGAGAGAATTGTGGGGATCTTGTCTAGAAGATAACTTTCTGTAACTGAATGCTAAAGATGGTTGTTCAGGTGAATGGAGGAATGTCACCAAGGGCAGTTAATAGTTTAACAGTATCTCTCTTGCTTATTTATATAGGTGGTTATGCTGAGCTCAGTTAGTGATTTGCTGACATACATTGATGACAAGCAGTTAACCCCTGAGTTAGGCGGCACCTTGCAGTACTGCCACAGTGAATGGATCATCTTCAGAAATGTATGTTTCCTTTGCCCTTACTGTAGAGCCTGTAGTTCATGTTAGCCTGTAAATCTAGTTCTCAACTTTTTTCCTCCTTGGGAAAAACAGATTTCTGGGGCTCCAACTTCTCAAATACTGATATAATTCAACATCTTCATTTTTCTTCCTTAGGAAATACTAGAAATGATGACGAGCCACTGAGGATGGCAGTTGAAGGAGAGACCTAGGGAATAAAAAGATCATACTGGGCCCACCTCTTCCTGTGGCCATGTAGATATTGAAGAAGTAAAGGATTTGAGTTTAATCCTAGCACTACTGACTTCTAGCTCTTAGACCCTCTGTGGGCCTGACTTTTTCCAGTTATACAATGGGAATAACAACATTTTATAATAGGGATAAAAGGAAGAGGAAATAAAAATGTGAGATTTTTGGCACAGTGCCTGGCATGTGGCATGTATTACAAATAATATTATTAATCTCACTGTGTAGTAGTGCCCCCAAGGCAGTGAGATTTGAAGCAAAGACTCCTTCTGCTCTAGAAAATTATAAGTAGGCGAGCCGGGCACCCTGCAGCTCACAGTTGTGACTCTGTTACAAGGCTCTCTACTCCAAATCCCAGAGATATGGGAACCTTCTGAAGGAACTAGTGATATTAAATTAAGTCAGAATTCTAGTTTCCCGTCCTTATTCTCCACTCAGCAGTCCTATGCGTACACATGAAAGTCTATTATCAGAATGAGCAGAGTTTCCCTAAATTAATCTACAAAACTATAAACAAGAGAACCAATAACTTGACCTTCATGGCAACCAGAGGGCTTATATGGTCTCTGCAAGTTACCTTTCTTTCTGTGAGTAATTGATTTTGGAAGCAAAACAAACCTAATATTACCTGACATTTTAGGGTGACAGTGCCTTTGAGATCACAAAAAAAAAAAAAAAGAAAAAAAAACTTGAAGAGTTTCTGATATGGATCATTGTGATGAGTTGTTCCACCATTATATCACTTTGTTTGAAATGCTGATGTTTGTTCAGAAATGACAATATATGTGTAGAAAGTGGCTTTGACAGTCTCACCTCTCTTCAATAATAACAAAGCAATGTTATGGTGGCAGAATTTGATAAGTCCATCAGTGAAATCTATCCATAAATCAAATATTTCAATACATGCCATCTTGAAGAGATAGTTTTGTTAATGTCCAAGAAATAAGTACAGAAATTTAGATCAAAGATAGGCAAGAGGTCTTTACCAGACTTTAGTTTCTTAGAGTCTTTGATGCAAAATTACAGTTGATTGCCAAGAGCAGTGCCTTAGGTGAGGACAGTTTGTATCTGTGTTTGCTGTCCACCACAATAAAAGTAAATACAATAACTGATCCAGCTTTTGGTACTCTGGCAGAATTTCCATAGAATTAAAAGAATTACTGGCTCTTTGCAGGCAATAGAAAATTTTGCCCTCACAGTGAAGGAAATGGCCCAGATGTTACAATCCTTTGGAACTGAACTGGCTGAGACAGAACTACCAGATGATATTCCTTCCATAGAAGAAATTCTTGCAGTTCGTGCTGAAAGGTATCAGCTGCTGAAGGTATGTCTAATAAAGCGGATAAGCAAGCTTACCATGTGGTTCGCCATTGCCTTTCTCAAGAGGTATTCACTGTGTACATTTCACCTTGATTAGTGCATTGGGAGACAGAAGATATTTATATATTTTAAAGCACACTTTCTAGAAGCACGACACTGTACAAGAGAAGAACGTCATGGATGTGTGGGATTTAAGTGTCCCCTTTATAAAGGGTGCTTCTCTGGAAAAGTGGTTTGTTTGTAAATAGAACTGTATCTAAATGCTCTCGAATAAGCACACGCACTTCGTCAGAGGGAAGGGCCCTCCCGTTTGAAATGGAACGAGAATCAGGAGGCAGGTGTGTGTTCTGTGTTAACCTCCGCGGCAGGTCACCAGGGGCAAGGAGACGTGGTGAGGGCCCAGCGAGCCTGGCTCCTTGTCCGCCCTCGGCTGTGTGCTGTCCACAAGGCAAGCCTGGCAGAAGCGCTCCCAGCTTTCTTTTCCAGAGTCCCAGGGCTCACTGTTTTCTCCCGGGACCATAGGTGGTGAGTCGATTTTGCCCTCTTACCCAGTTGTCTGCAGCGTTGGAAGGAAGAGTTCTGAGCTGCCGTTCACACGGTCATCAGGCCCTGTGGCCGCACTTTCCTCCCCGCAGTTCCAGGCTGATCTACACAGACGCCGTGTCTATGGCAGCAGGCACGCTGGTCCAGCACGGTGCAGTGGGCTGTCTTTAGTTACAGAGAAGAGAGTAACGCAAGTTGCAATCATAATTTAAAGTCAAACTCTGTTTATGGGAGAAAGGCGCCCCCACGAGCTGGGAGACTGGGTGACCTGTTCACATTCTTTTTCCTTTTATGCATCACGAGGTTGATGAGGAATAGGGTGATGTGAGCGAATTGAGTCCCAGGAAAAGTATATGGACACCCCAGATTTTTTGCTTAAGAAGTCACGGGGGTCCTTAGACCTCCTGATGGTGCTCATAGAGCCCTCAGATGCCGGAAGCATCTGCTCTCCAGGTTAAGACCTTCTGAACAGTGGCATCTAGCTATGATGAATGAACTCATCTGAATGTGAAGGGGCATAGTACTTAGGAAGGCAGCGGTTGGCAGTAATCAAGCTTGGGTAGAAAAGGCGTCTAACTAGACCTGAATGGCCATTAAGTATAATTTGTAACTGTATGCTTTCTAGTGTGGTCGCCTTTATTCTGCTCTTACTGCTTCACTGGAGGACATTCAAAATATTAGCAGAAGGGAATAGAATAACGGCAACTTTCTGCCAGTGACTACAAAGGAAGCGTGGAGTTCTGCCTCTGAAGATTTTATTAAAGAGTAGTGATTGCAGCCTCCATCTCAACAGGCAGAGGCTTCTGGGAGAGCCAGAAGCTTGGGGCTCACGGCTTGGGGGCTCTTGGCTCTGAGTTATTCCTGAGTTTCTCGTTACGACGGCAGACAGCATGGTGGAGCCACTGTTTCTGTTCCGTGCGTTACAGCGGATGCTCCTTTCTTTCTGGGACATTCAGGCAGGCTGACCTGCCCTGTTGTGCCTTTGTACAGAATGATATCACAGCTGTCACCAAAGAGGGAAGAATTCTGCTCACAAATCTGCAAGTGCCTGACACTGGGGATGCTGTCAGTTCAAGACTTGACCATCATCAGCAAATAGGTGGTGACTGGCAAACGATTAATAAGTGAGTGCTCCCCTTTTTGGTCTAGAGCTACTCATTTCAAAGGGGGGTAGACCATTTGCCCTGCAGTCTGTGAGGTGTGAAAGTACCCCCGGGCCCTGGGAATCTGGGGCTCCCTCCTGAGTTGTCTCCCAGAGGTCAGCTTGCCTGCAGCAGAGACGCTCCCAACAGCCCCTGCACTGGCCACGGCGGGCTGAGCCCCCCCACGCCATGTCCAGGTCAGGCGCATCTATACACCTATGGAAGAAACAGCTGCTTTCAAGGAATTCTTTGATCTCTCTTTGTTAAGATTGCTGACTCAAGTACGTGATATGGAAATAGCTTTTGATGGATTTTGGGAAAAGCATCAACTGAAAATGGAGCAGTATCTGCAACTATGGAAGTTCGAGCAGGATTTCCAAGAGGTCAGTGCAAAACTGTCTTTATGCTCTCTTTTCATTATGCCAGGGTGCTTACTCCTAGGCATCAGGAATGCAATCCTTCTAGATGCCCCTTTTTACTGATAGAGCAATGAAAAGGAGGCAACTGTGCATGACCCTTTCACCTAGAATGGAGAAAACCACGAAAAGGCCAAGAGTCCTTGGGCTTATTCATGCCCTACAAGAAAGCCCTTCCGTGCAAACCTATGGGACAAGAACCATGCGATCAACCCTGATGTGCGGGATTCAAAGTTATTTTAGATATAAAGTGCTTTCATGCAGTGGGTGGCTTTCCAGTGAAATAACGGGCCGCGTCCTTCTTGATTCTTTCAATACCATGTACCTGCCTGTGCCTACCCATGTACCCTATAGGCCCTCTTAACATCCCCTAACCTTTTTGGGAAGCAACAGTTCATTTCAGTGCAAAGCCTGCTGAATAAATAAAATCATGCATCGTGGCTCATTATTTATTTTTCTAAGATTTATTTATTTATGCATACAAGAGCTGAGGTGTAGTCCAGAAGTGCGGGGTAGGGGATGAGAGGATTCATTAGAGACAGAGAGGGGAGCAGAACAGGTGGAATCACTGAAATACACTGCTGAGGAGAACAGCAAGTGGGTCAGGGGAGGTCTGCCACCACAGGTGGGTCACCTCTAGGCCAGAGATTGAGCTCGCACTTAAAGGGCTGCAGCTCGCTTGCAGTGCTGCGCTCTAACCTGTTGCACCACCACGGAGGGCCATGATGTTCTTTTCTAATGGCACTTTCTACAAAGTCTGATTACTCAGGGAAAATGCTTAAAAATATGCATGCTGTTAAGACTTTCCCCCTTATTTTTAGCTCGTGACTGAAGTTGAACTTCTATTAAACCAACAAGCAGAGTTGGCAGATGTAACAGGGAATATATCTCAAATAAAGCAAAAGCTAAAAAAGTTGGATAACTTAGATGAAAGCTCTCAGGTAAGATTACTTTCCCCTGTTCACTGTTTTATGGCCTCTACTAGTTACATTGCCGTGGTTTGCAGTCGTATAAGCCCTTGTAATGATCCATTTTTAGCAGCAGTCCCCAGAACTGGTTCAGTAACATTAGTCTCTGGTCTGTTCTGTTCAACGTGGGCTGGACGTGACATTGCAGACATGTCAGAGCTGCCATGGAGTGGAAACAGGACGCCTCCAAGACAACGGTGTGAATTGGTTGAAGCGCAAGAAGAACAAGAGAATAAATCCTGTTGAAGAAGCTTAAAAAATGTCTATCAAGAATTCTATTTCAGTCTTGGAAATCATGGAAACAGAAGAGCATATTTCTCTAAATATTCATAATTTGATATATGCCATTGAATCAGACAGATTCAGACAAATATATCTACTTAGTTTTACTTGCTAACTGCATGACCTTGGGTAAATGGGTTACATTTTCTAAACCTCCAAGTCCTCACCTACAAGTTGGGGATGAAATGACCTAAGGAGTGATGGTGAGGCTTCATTTAGATGCAGCAGAGAAAACACTTCCCCGGACCCTGGGCCACGTGGTCATGCATGACATTCTCAGGGAGCTGGCTGTCATTCCTCTGCTGCTCTGAAACTTGCCCTTGTGGCTTCAGTACGTGACGGGGGCACTGCGCTCTCCTGGCTTGTATTTGAGAGTAATGCTCTGGTTTTCAAGGTGCGTTCTCAGCAAACAGACTGAGGAGCAAACCACAAGTATCTAAAAACAAAAAATGGAGCGGCAGCAGTCTCGTGACCACTTGTGGAATTATGCCTGTAGCCTAGGGGGCGACTGTGGAAGACTGCCTCTGTGGAAGACTGCCTCTGTGGGAGACTGAAGGCAGAGTGACCTGGAAACTGGAGGGCTTCGCTGGTCTGTTCTTGTTGTTTTCAGTAGCCAGGATCCCGTTCATCAGCAGAGACCCAGTTCAGCTCAGAAATACAAAGTTGTCAGGTGGAGGATAACTAACAAGATTTCTTCCCTTTTTTCCCTCACACTTTCCCCCCTTAATTTTATGGAGGTAACACTGGCTTACAGCACTGTATATAACCTGGAGGTACAGTTCACACCTCCTCAGGTGTCTGTCGCCACACCGCACCCACCACCGCGCTCCATAACCCTCCACCACAGACCACTGGGTCCTCTGCCCACTTTGCTATGACTAACGAGGTTTCTAAGATTGACAGGATACGAAATCTGTTAACTTTGATTTGGCTGGTGCATCCGATATCTGTGGCTCTATTCTAAATATGTATATACCAGGAGAAGCAAATCTGATCCACATTCTGGGAGGGCTGGTTCATTTTCTCTTTCTGCTACCAGCAATTCTGGAGCTTCTGATGACATCAATGATGTAGCTAATTGCTGTAACTGTTAGCTTTTTTGCAGCCTGCAGAAGTATGACATCAAATCATATTTTTGGCAATACAGCTCCTTTGTTTAACCAATTTGCTTCTTAGTTATTCTTTCTCCTTTTTACTGAGATCGTGCACTTACTATTTTCTCTCTTTTTTAAACTCAGGATGTATTAGCAAAGGCCCAGTTTGTGATATTGCATGGACACAGACTTGCGGCCAATCACCATTACGCACTGGATTTGATCTGCCAGAGGTGCAATGAGCTACGTTATCTTTCTGATATTTTGGTCAATGAGATCAAAGCAAAAAGGATACAGCTGAGCAGGACCTTCAAAATGCATAAACTTCTACAGCAGGTAGTGTCGGGGGAAATGCTGCATTTCTGAGGAAGAAAATAAATTTTTTCCTGGGTCCTTCTCAGTGGCGGTAGGGTCTGTGTGTGCCAGAGCTTTGGAATTAAGTCTGTGAGAAGTCCAAGGGCCTGGTTGGAAGATGCTCAATCTGCAGGATTCGCAGCGGGCCCAGCATTGTAAGCATTTTGGCCTCTGTTCCGACTCTGTGGCATGCAGTTGCAGCGGCTTCCTCTCTGCTCGAGAACGTGTCTGAAGCCTCTGCTCTGCTCGTAGGTTGTGCTCAGGGCCTTCGGAAGCACTGGGGCAGTTTGCTAAAGTCTGAAAACATCACCCACATTTCTTAGTTTTTGTACAGCAATAAGAGTTAGAGTGACTGGCGACTGTTCCTCCCTGGTGGTCTGACTCCCATCGTTGCTGAGGCAGTGGTGGGAAGGTCTGGCCTTGGCAGTGGAATATGAAGTAGGGCTGTCGCTTCTGGCATCCTATCTGACCATGAACTTTCAGTCTGCGTGTCCCCCGCTCTGGTCAGGAAACGCCTTCCCCTCTGAGATGAGCCCTCTACAACCCTAATGGGTTTCTAGTGCACTTCAGATTTTGCCAGGAGTTTCGGGGTACAAGTGTTGATTGGGGAAATGCGTGTGCAGCTGAGGTGTGGGCGTTGCAAGGATGGTCAGCCTCCTGCTGCAGAAAGAGTTCCTTGTTATGAAGTAAGTGCTGGGCTTCCCAGCCTTCGCTGTGCCGCATAGCACCTGTGAGGCGCTGACTCACGGCTCTGAGCTACCGAATCACCATTTCTGGGGCAGAACCCAGACAGCCTTAGTTTCTAATACCCGTGCAAGCAACTTTGCTTCATAGAAGTCAGGGCTGAGAAGCACTGTCTTTAGGACAACATATTTCTTCATTCATGTTGTGTGTGTGTGTGTGTGTGTGTGTGTGTGTGTGTGTGTGTGTGTGTGTGTGTGTGTGTGATTTTATCCCCAGGCTCGTCAGTGCTGTGATGAAGGAGAATGTCTTCTAGCCAGCCAGGACATGGACAAGTTTCAGTCTAAAGAAGATGCTCAGAAAGCACTCCAGGACATTGAACATTTTCTTGAAATGGCCCTGCCCTTTATAAATTATGATCCTGAAAATCTACAGTATGAATTTGATGTAATTTTATCCCCTGAACTCCAGGTAAGCCTTAATCTATCCCCCGCCATAAGCTACTATTAAAAAACTAGAATGGCAGGTGTGTTGGGATGAATTTTCCTCAGTCAAACTGCAGTTACGACATTCCCTCATGGGTCATGGCTGCTGTCAATGCCACTTGCAGCCTCAAAATGTTTGGAGACTTACGTTTGCACCACAGTACTCTTCCTTCTGACTTCATTATTTTCAAATCTTCACATACCGGGAGCTCTCACCTGCATTTTCTTGTGCATCCTTGAGCTGGCCCACGCCAGGGCACTGAGGACCTTCTCAGGTTTCCTTTGTCCTACAGTGATCACCCACCACTGTTTGGGGACACACATCTGACCCCTCCTTAGTTGGAGAAAAAGGCAGGCAGCTATGCTGACCACTGTAACTCTGACCCAGTGCCCTCTGGGAGGCCTTCTTGGGCAAGGGGGAGTAGACAGCATTGGGAGGAAGTGGGGGCTGGGGGTCGACATCAAGCAGTTCATGGTCACCCTCTGGAGAGAGCACGGGCATTTGCTGTGGTGCAGATAAGAGCAGTTGTCCAGCCTTTTGCTGCAACACTGTCCAGGTGACTCTGAGTTCTAAGTTATCCAGTATGTAAATCACCACACTTCTTAGGGATGCCCTAGAAAACAAGAAACATGTCTGTGGCAAGAAGCCCAGAGTCTTTGGAAGCCAGAAGGCTGAGCTTGTCTAGCTGCTGCCCGTCTGCCAGGAGGTGGGGGTGTGTTATCTGTCCACAGCCGTGAGACAGGACCAGCAGGTTAAAACACGAGACCACACAGAGGGCTTACGTTGGCATCGGTCTTGTGTGTTCCCAGCCATTACCCTGTCCCACCACAGAAGGGTGAATCACTTGAGGCAGCGCCCGCCTTCCTGACTGCATGCTGCATTTCTTCCTCAAGTTGTTTTGGTTGCAACCTTGTTAAATCTCTTCCAGTTGGATTTGAAACTCTAAATTAATTTTTTAACTGCCTGAGTTCACGAAATGTAGTAGGATTTGTAATGACTCCGTTTCAGAGACGATTTCATAGGGCTCTTATGCAACCTGCAGGTTCAAATGCAGACTGTGCAAGTCAAGCTTGAAAACATTCGAAGTATATTTGAGAACCAACAAGCTGGCTTCAAGAACCTGGCAGAAAAGCATATGAGGCCCATCAAATTTGTGGTCCCGGCTTCAAACAATTTGATCACATCCAGAACACCATTTTGGTCGCCTAAACATGGTAAATTGTCTTTATCTTGCCTTGAGTTCTTTGATCTCCTTTGCTGTCATTGAGTTTGTTCCTCTTGCTGTAAACCGTGAGCTCATTCTTGCATCATGATAAACGGACATTCTATGTGTACACCTTTGGTCAAGATGACCACATAGTAGTAAAACACACCAGCGTAGGAGTAATGTCCGGGACCATGACAGTCTCAGCGCTGAATGGTCCCGCCTGGCTGTGAGTGTTAATATTTTATCCAGATCAGACTCGCCCTTTTTTTCAGTGGCTAGAGAAAGGCATAGGAAATTGGTGTACATATAGGTACTACCCAGGAGACTCTGGCTTTGTAGACATGTCTAGCGAATGTGTGGCTGAGATAATAGAATAGATTGTCTTTTCCAAATGGCTGCAGATAAATAGAGTAGTAAACTCTAATCTTTGGAGACTGTTTTCAACCATGTAATAGTGTCTTCTGATGTTCTCTGGGAAAAAATAATTATCCTCACAAACGTGGTGAGCTGGTCTGGAAATGAGATGACTGTTGTCCCAGCGGTTCCTTTGAGCTGCCCCTTGGAGGTCATTCAGATGAGAATAATTTGGCCTTTGGGGCCCTAAGTTACTTGAGTGGGTGAACATAATTTGAGAGAACCAGAAATTTTCTGAATGCCTGAAAACTGCTTCATGGGTTAGAGCAAGTTTAGGCAAGGTATTATGAGTTTAAAAATGTCGCTCAGCCCCAATGTGGACCAGATTAAAGAGAGGTGATGATTTAGGGGAACATCTATGGTGCTGTAAACCAATGTTACCTCAAAAATAATGTTACTGGAAGAAAAAGAGGCCATGAAAGCAGGTAACGAGGCCAAAGTGATAAAGTTACATAGTTAATATTCAACATAAAAATATCCTTACCAAGAAAACAAATAACAGTGTCAATATTATTGACTGATGTGATATTGGGGGAAAGAGTGAAAAAGAACAACAATTAATAGCTATTAGGGATAAAGACCAACAGCAATGGGAGTAAAAATACCCTCGGTTGATATTCCTAAGCTGAAACAGGCCTTAGACTGCTGGCTTCATTTCCTGACTGGGTGACATTTTAGCTAATCATTTTTTTTAAAGATTTATTTATTTATTCATACAGAACTGGGGTACAGGCCAGAGGCTCAGGGGCGGTGAGAGGCTTCACCAGAGACAGAGTGGGGAGCAGAACAGGCAGATCGACGAAGTACACTGCAGAGGGGAGCAGCGGGCGGGTCAGGAGAGGTCTGCTGCACCATGTGGTCACCTCCGGGGCAGGCGGGAATCGAACTCATGTGGAAGCGGCTTTAGATTCTCAGTGCTGTGCTTTAACCCACTGCGCCACCAGGGAGGGCCTTTAGCTAATCATTTTTAACCTCAGTTTCCTTGTCTGTAAAATACAGTAATACCGATACAGATTTCAAAGGGTGGGTGAAGATAAATGGAAAAGAAATTGTACACTATAATGCTCAATAAACCAGCTATCACTTCCCTGTGACTAAGGCCTCTTGCTTTATAGTTGTCTAAACGTTCAGCTCTGAATGCACATCTGAGGTGATGTACCTTGAGCTGAGGAACAGGGTTCTGAAGAGACTGTCCATGCCCCATTCAAGTTCTTCTTGCCAGAAGTACATTTTGTTTTGTGTATTTTCATTCCCCCACCCCCAGTCCTTATTTAATGGCCTTACACTTTCTTTCAGCACTGGGAGTTGGATATTCTTTCTTTCAAGCATGTAAACTTTTTTCAAAAGGTACCCATCTTTATTATTTTTTGTCTGTTTATTTTCTGAGTTTGTGTATATGAAAAACCAGTTTGGCATCTAAAACTAGCATAATTCATGCTTGTATTTTGCCTACAATTAAGTTTCTCTCCCCCCCCCCCCCACATTTTGGTATACGGTTATGCTTCTGAGCACACTTCGAAGCTCAGTCTCTTTCATCACATGGCCAGTCAGAAAAAGAAAACAAGAAAAATAATTGGCAATATTCAAATCAATCAAGCTTTCTTTCATTCTTGATACCCATGTCATCCACATTAAAGCTATTTATTGGGAGTAGCTTCAATTTGATTCAGCTTAAGATTGCCTGATGTATTTATGAGGGGAATACAGCTGACTGCAAAAATGACATTGCTGGATAAATTATATTATCCATTATCTACCAGTGTTTCTGTATCAAGCCCCAGCATTTTATGCCATTCTTCATTTTACGTCATTGTGCTTACCTCATTGAGTTGGAGATTATAACAATTAATAACAAATAGTTGTTTAAGACTCTCAATTGCTATGCCAAATAACATTTGGTAAAATCACAACGTAAATATTAATTCTTCATAAAATAAGTCAAACTGGTTTTTTGGTTTTGTTTACTTTTGTTTGATTTTTTTTATTAATTTGCATCATAAATAATGCTGTGCCAGTCGCAGTGCCTGAAACCTAGCAGTGTCTAATAAATGTATGTCAAATTCATTTCTTTTCCTTTTTAGTCCAGAATCTTTATTAAGGGAGCGTGATGGTCCTCACCACAGCCTGGACTTTGTGGCCTTAGGAAAGACTTGTGTCAACAGAGGCTCGCTTTCCTCTGCAGACAGGGAGCTCAGTCACCTCCAGGGCCCCTCCGCTTTCCCCCCTCTGAAGGGAGGGCTAGAGGGCCAGAGGGAGAGGAGAGCGTGTTCCACCCCGAGCACTAGCAGCTCCTGTGGTCCTGTGCGGTCTAGCGGTCCTGTGGCCAGGAGCAGAGGGGAGAGATGCGGGAACCACTAGGGTGACCAGCGTTCCTGCCACAGATGGGGCCTGCCGCACCTCCTTACAGTTGTCCCCAGAGCAATGGATCAAACAGCTGCTTCCTCAGCACTGTGTCCTGTAGTCACACCAGGGAAGCCTAGCAGAAAGCAAAGTGAGGAGGAGTGGGCTGCTTTTGCCCCTTCCTGTAGGAACAGCTGCGAGCACGAGTGTGCAGGTCCTGCACAGTGGGTTCAGAGTTACTGTCTGGACTCTCTCCCCTCCTGCGTGCCTATCAGAATGTCTGAAATGTCTTCAGAGAAACACCAGTCGGAAGGCAGTAGCTGGAGAAGGTACAACACCTTTAGCAGGCACCGGGCCTTTTGGCTATAGAGAATGTGTGTGCTCCAGGGACAAGGGGCCTCAAAATGGAGCACCCTGCATGTGTTTTACTCAATTCCATGTTGCCCTGGCCCAGGGCTACTAAAATTGAGGATAGAGCTGAGCTGGTCAGATGCAGTGGGGAGGGAGAAGAGTCTCAGGAGCCACCAGACCTGGCCCGCTGCCTCTGTAGCAAGGGCGCTCTGTGTGAGCTGTGGGTCTGGGGGCAGCCTCTGGGCCAGGACCCCAGGGTCGGGGTGTGGACAGCCACATGCACAGTGAGCCCTGTGACCAGTACCATGACTCCCCCATGGGTCCAAGTTCTAGGCCGGCGGCGGCCTCTTCCCACACCAGTTGCCGCCAGGACGGCAGCCCCTGAGCAGCTGCTAGAGCTGCTTTTCCTAGGCCTCAGCCCAGCCTTTCTTTACCTTTTGGCCCCTTTGATTGCCTGCAGCAACTCACACTCACGGAACTCCTTCGCTCCCACAAGCCTCCCACACTTCCTCCTCTTAGTGAACAGTGCCTCCAGCCAAAGCCTGGACCCTGTCTTCCCCTTTAACTCATGTCCCCTCTCCTCTGATCTATTAAGGACAAAATGAAATTTCTTGGGATTTTGCCTGTACATCGTCATTGCTTGCAAGTCCCGGTTGCAATTTCTCTGCCATTACTGAATAAACTCATTTTGCTTTTTAAAAAAATCCACTTCTTGCCGTCACCCGCCTGCCCTCTCCTTCAAGGCCACTTCCCTTGCCCAGGCTAACCTCATTTGTTGCCAGGGCAACTTGCAGTCCCCAAGCTCCCTCTCAGATGCCCCTAGGGGTCTTACCTTTTGCCTCCTCTTGGACTTGATCCTACTCTTCTCTTTCTGGAACACTCTCCTCTACCTTTCCCCTCCCATAACTCCTACTCCTCCATCAGATGCCCCATTTCTAGGCCACTGCCTTCTGGTAAGCTTTCCTTCCTGCCTCTTCTCCCCCACAGCCATCGCAGTTGGGTGTTCCTGCCATGTGGTAAGAGCCCCCCCACCTTCCATCATAATGACCAGTTTTCTGTCTTGCTCAGGGTGCAGCACTGTGCAGTTGACCCTGGATTCCCTGTTCCAGACACCCCTTAGCGCCGAGTACAGGCCTCAGTACTTATACAGGCATTTACATTGGCAAAAGAATGTGTCCTGTCCCTTTTCAGAGAGATACATTCCCCATAGTTGTATATTTATTTATTATTTTCATCTTAGTGGCTTTGCAAATAATTAGCTTCTAAAGCTCTGTAGCTACCTCTAAATAAATTCAGATCTCTACCAGTTTTCTTGAAAGGAGCACACTTCTGTGTTTATTGGGAAATCGATTTTCTATGGCAGTTACCACTACTTCTAATTTATATTTCTCTATTGGCATGTAATTAGAGAGACACAACATTTCTAGATGAATATGCAGTGAACGTCAAGTCTAAACTCCAGAGAATGTAGCGCTTTGCCTTGCCGGATGTGGTCGGCACGATTCCTTGGCGGGAACATGCTTTTTGTCCTTCGTGGTCAGAATAGACCCATGCAGCCCTTGCAGCAACCTTGAGCACTGGGATCTCAGAGGACCTAGTCTTTGACAGGACGGTGACTGGGTTTTTGTAGGAACATCTGGACTCCTTACATAATAACCTAGGGGCTCGCACTTGGTAAACTGAACATTTTTAGAAAATAAAGATAAGCGCTTGGAATTTTGATGAAGTTGTTTTTGTTTTGTTTCGTTTTAGCATTTTAAGGTGCTTCAGAATGTGGTTTTATACAGCGGTAACAAACATGTTCTGAGGATAGACGCTACGGATTTGAATACTGCTCTGCTTCTTGGATAAGATAACAACCTTAGTTACTTTTGGATAAAGTGGGGATAGAAGTAATACCTATCTCGTAGGGTTGATTTGAGGATTGGAAATGAAAATGCATGAGTAGGACTTACAGCAGTCCTCTGCAAGTAGTAATTGCTGAATAAATGTTAGATGCTGCTGTTATATTTACATCTCCTTGAAATTTTTTTGATCCAATTAATCAGTTGGCTATAATATGATTAAATGCTTCCGTGTTAGAATGAACACTAAATCTGCAAATAATTGTTGAGTACTAACACCTAGCTTCACACTCCCTCCGCAATCAATGGGACGTTTAATGAGTGAGAGAATGAATGTGTGGTTACTTAGCTAAACTGTGTTCTGTCTGAAGCTGAAATCGTACAGGGAAGTCTAACCAATCAACTGCTTTTATAATGGGATTTAAAAATACTAATGTAAACACAGTGGAATAGTAATCTTTTCTCTAACTACTTAATAAACATGCATGTATTTCTATAAAACTCACTGATTTTAAATCTGGCTTGAAATTCTCCTTTCACGTTTCTCTACCAGGCAAGAAGAGTTGGCGACAAAACCAGAGCAACCTAAAAGTAAATATCGTTAATTAATTCAAAACTGCCGTTATTGCTGTAGCCGCTAAAACAGTGTGTGTATCAGGGCAGGGGAGGCGGATGCCCTGTTTTAAACTCACTAAAGCAATATGGTGTGTTTGAAAGCCTATTTCACCTGAAAGGAAAAGCTGAAGCCACGCTGTAGCTAACTGCAGTGCTGGCACAGCCCCGGATGTGCGAGCGGTTGCCAAAGTCCTGGCCCATGTTCACAGTAATTTCTGCAAGACACCTCAGAAGTTCCAGTTTCTCATTCCCCTGCCCCCCACCTCAGTGAACCTAAATAAGTGCTGAGCCTCTCCACAAAGGGCAGTTTCTTTCCTGAGTGATTGTAGTCCCCTAGTATGAAGTGCGAAGAAAAGCTTCTAATGTACCATACTTTGGGCCCAAAGGCCATCACAGGGTTTTCTGATAGATAAAAACTCCTGTCATGTGACCTCACCCTCGCTGAAGGAGAGGGTGTATCGCTGAGCTACCTGCCTGGCCTTTGACGTCAGCGCGATTAACGTTGGGTAAAATCTCTGGAACTTAGTTTCCTTTTCTACAAAATGGAATAATGATAGAACACTATCACCACGGAGTTAGCGTAAAGATAAAGTGAGTGAATATTTGTGAAGTACTTGGACGAACGCGCGGCACGTGCTAGTGTTCTGAGTCTTAGTTACTCGCAGACTGAATGGCCAGTGGTGACCCACCTTGCCTGGTTGCCTTGTTGTAGAGCTAGGAGACCTGGGTGGAAGAAGGAAGTCGGTAGATGCCAACGCTTTAGTTTTCTGGTTCTGGTTTCAACTCCTGACACCTTAACATCTCTCTGTGGCTTTATTTATTTGCATACCATCAGGGACAAAAATAAATAAGAGCTGATTGCCATACGTTTGTCTTGCTGATGTTTCTAGCTGGTGAACTCAGATCCAAAGTGCACATATTCTTCCAGTGCAAGTCATTCTGTACAGTCTGTAGGTATTTAAAAGTATAAAGTTATTTTTAAAACTTTCCAAACGTATACTTCAGAAACCTGTTAAGAATATAGGGGTTCTATCTATCTGATAAGTATAGAAGGATGCAATATTTTCATTCTCATTATAGTTTTTACATGGTAATAACAGTTGGTACATTTAGCAGGCATAATAAACGAAAGCTCACTCTTAAAGAGTGAGCATGATAATAGTGGCAGAGCATGGACTTGACTTGGCTTTATCACATTTGATGCATGATTCTGGCTCTGTTGTTACAACTCTCTGAGCCTCAGTTTTCCCATTCATAAAATGGGGATGAGCATGCAAGCTTGCAGAATTGCCACGAGGATTAGGTAATGTGTGCAAGCACCTAATACTATGGCTGCTGAATATAGGAAGACATTATTACGTGTGTTCCTTCCTCCGTGTATTTGAAATATTTAGGTCCTATTTTGTAGAAGTGCTTTCCTTCCTAGCTGTTCGGTCCTGTGGTTTGGTTTCTAGTTGTTACATAGTCAAGCTACATTTACTCGGAAGGTAGGATTTTTGCAAGCTGGGCTGTTCAAGTACAGCTAGAACCCTTGAAATAGCCTTCCATTGTTTCTGAGAAACAAATACCCATCCGAACACATGCAGTTGGCCTGTAGGCCAGCCCAAGCCCTGTAGAGTCAACAGAATAAGGCAGCGGTTTGGGATCTAGGAGGTCACTCAGAGCAGCCACTGCTGTGGGGCAGACAGCAGACACTGATGTGAACAGGTGACAACCAAGAGGTAGCAAGAACACAGGTGACAGCCATGAGGTAGTTCTGCACGTCTTCTTAGCCATGGAATGCATCAGTAGATTTGCTGACATCATTCGTGTTTCCCATGATGCCACAGTCATTAGGAAAAAGGCTACTCTTTTATCCCCAGTTAAAGAATTCAGAGATCCCCCTAATATTTGCTAGAAAAGTTGCCATCCACATCAGTAAGAAACCATTTTGGTTCTTCAGTGAATAAGCTAGTTATCTGGAAAATTAACTCTTAAGCATTGACCTCATTGCCCCCCAAGTAAATGCTGTCCTCTTGGGCATCTCAAATCATTTTTACTAGTGCATACAGGAAGTTATTGCTCAAAAAACAATGATTGTGGTATTTTTAGTTACCTACATAGCTAGGACTTAGAATAACTTCACTTGAGCTAGACTTTCTTGACGAACTTGACCTACATAGATGCTAATTTAACTTTTATTTTCATAATTTCAGATTGAAGTGGTGCATGATTGTCGGGACAAGAGAAATCCTGGCCAAACTTCCAGTTTGAACAATGACAATAGCTTGGATGTTTTAAAGAAGTATCTTTTATTTACTAACATACACTCATGTCTCTCCCTCACAGCTAAGAATAGAACCGGGCTCCTTTGGGTGTGATGAAAATGCCTGGAGGGGGTCTTGGACTTAGGACTGGCCCACATGTGCTGTTTATATGCCGCCAGGAAAATGAGCTGGACTTTTCCAGCATCTTAGTCTCTCCTTTTGTAAAGAGATGGAGCCTGAATGGGATGGGACAGTATTTCAAAGACTGCAAAAGATGATTAGATACACAATTTTATTTTATAGATGCTAACAATGCTCAGTGTTTTGTCCACTTTGGGGATAGTGTGCTAATATGCCAGACGGCAATATTTGCCATTTAAATTTTATATCATTGAGTTGTTAGGAAATAGTCTTTGGAGCAAGTTTGAATTTTCGTTCAAATTCAAATATTTATTGAATTTATATACATGCACATATACATACATAGGCCAAACTTGTTAAATGTTATTACTTAAAAAGGGAAAAAAATCAAATAAAAAGAGACCAAAGGTAGAAGTTGATGGATTGCTAATACCTGGGAGTGGGGAAATGAATTTTAAGCATGAAATGAATAGGAAAGCCTATTAGAGGGAAAATTTATTTTAAAAAAACAATAAACAAAAGGAGTACAGAAACTTACTTATGATGTAGAATTGGGAAGCCCAACATGATAAATGCAGAAAATTACAGGCAAAGAGGGGAAAATTGTGACTGAAAATGTTGATACTATGTTAGAAGGAACTGGCGGCTGTCCCTAACCTAAGTCTCCCAGACATTTAGGAATAATTTTTGTGATTTCTGTTTAATAAATCGATCTAAGTTTAGAGTTAGAAATAAAGTTGTTGTTTTTCTTCTTAGACTTGAAAACAACTATTGAGCCCCCCCTTCCCTTTCTTTTAAATGTACTTTAAAGCGTGGTGAGTGGGCTTTACTCTAGAAACTAGAATTAATCTGTTACTGATGACAAAACCGAAATTATTGGTAGTTCCTATGCATTAGCAATTTTACCTTAGATAATTTTCCATGAAAGCAATAGAGTACTGCATTATCATTCTAACCCAATACAATGCCTGATAAATATGGTATTTTCATTGTAGCCACGTCCTGAATGAGCTGATACAGACTGAGAGGGTCTATGTTCAGGAGCTGTTTACTGTTTTGTTGGTAGGTGACTCAAAATTGCGTTTTCCCATCTTGCCCTGAACTCCTGCCCCCTGCGACATTCATTAGGAAGTGTTTGAGGCTGCTCTCTCTCTCTCTCCCTCTCCCCCTTCCTCACTTGCCTATTGTTTGAAAATGCAGGTTTCTTCAATGTGCAAATTCAGGTTCTCCCTCCCAGCTATAGTTGTGGGTTCAGAATTTATTACAGAAGAGTTTATTACAGAAGACATATGCTGTTCCTTTAGCGATACAGCAGATTGTGATACTTACTCTCAGAGTGTTATTTAGAGATTGTGATGTGAAAAGCTAGAAATGGAAGGAAACCCTTCATTTGATACAAACAACATCATATTAATTTGGTCTGAAAAAACTTAAGCACTGCCACTTTAGGGAGAAGTTAATGGCCTGTAATATAATTTCCCTGTGTGGTTTCTCTTAATCTAAAGGCCAAAGATCTGACACTGAGTATGAAACATTGTGGCTCATTAAAAAAAGAAAAGTAATGGGTAACTACTTTTGGAACTAGAAGAAAATGACATCAGATTACCAACAACTTCACCACTAAGCCCCTGTACATTCTGGAGTACAGTCAATGACACATCAAATGTTAATGCGATTGGGATTTTTAAACATTTTTTTAATATTTATTCTGGATAGGGCTACAGAACAGAAATGGACAATCCAGAGATGTTTGATCTTATGCCACCTCTCCTGAGAAATAAAAAGGATATTCTCTTTGGAAATATGGCAGAGATATATGAATTCCATAACAAGTATGTGATTGCTGAATTGAATTTTCTTTTTCATGGTATTCTCTAAAGGATTATTGAGCAGTTTATTCAATTGCATGTGAAATGATTATTTTTTTTCTCATATTTTCCACAGCATTTTCATGAGCAGTCTGGAAAGCTGTGTTGAGGCTCCAGAAAAAGTGGGACCTTGCTTTCTGCAAAGGGTTTGTAAAGTTATTTGAAAAAATATAAATTTGTTCCACCAAAATAGCAGGTTATTTCTATAAGAAAACATTTAGAGACAAAGTAGTTTTTTTTTTATGGCTTTATGTTTTCTGAGGAGACACATCACTCCTGCATGATTTACTGCTAAGCCAGCGTTTGCCCCAGCCCTGGTTCAGTGGGGTGTGCAGCTGGCGCAGGGGCCCCTGTCCCTGAAGGAGGAGCTTCAGCGGCTCAGCTTGTGCCCCCCCAGTGCGGGGTGATCCCCAGGAGCCCACAGAGCATCCCTACCATGAAAACAGTACAGTTGGAGTCATCTTAGCACAACCATTGGCTAATTTTTTGCCAAAGAGATGCCTTAGAATTCCCTGCTTCCACACGGGCACCGGGGCATCTATTGTAACCTGGTCAAACAGAGAACTGTCTGTCCTTTCCTTCTATCAGATAGTCAGGGGACTCATTTCTTCATGTCTGAAGGGTCTGGGCAGGCCAGTTGACTTTCCAGGTTTTGTGATCCTACTCCCCTCTCTGGAGTTTTGGCTCAGAAGTTCTCTGCTTATCTAGCTGGCCCTCTTCCTGAAAGACCAGTTCTGTCTTGCTTTGAGAGTCAGTTTGATGGAGGTGGCCCTTGAAAGCTGTCAAACAGGCATCTTTTTTCCTAAAAGATTTATGTATTTACGCACACAAGAACTGCAGTGTAGGCCAGAGGTGTGGTGGGAGTAGGGAATGGAAGGGTGAGAGGATTCACCGAGACAGAGTGGGAGCAGAACAGACCAGTCTACTGAAATACATTGCTGAGGGGGGCAGTGTGCAAGACGGGAGAGGTCTGCTGTGCTATGTGGGTCAGCTCCTTGGTCAGGCATTGAACTTACACTGTAGTGTCTGGTGACAGCTTCAGCTTTAGCTTTAGCTTCACAGTGCTAAGACTTTATCCCTGGTGCCACCAGAGAAGCCCTCTAATAGACACCTAATCCTAGAAAGTGTTAAGGGAGTAAGGAAATAATATGGTTTAAAAAGAACCGTTTGTCACTATCTTTCTCCTCACTTTAAGGCATGGCTAGTACTGTGCTAGGCAATGTGGATACCAGACCCAACACTATTCAATAGAAAAACCATTTTGGACAAAATGAGTTGTGCTCTATTGGAGATACACAGAGGCTGCCTTAGGGAGCCAACAAGAGGAACATCTTACATAGACTGGCGGTACAAATGATGGCTTTATAGAAGGGATGACTCCAGAGATAAATGTTAACAACTAAGGAGCAGGTAGCCCCTTAGGCCAAAGAGAGATGATTCTGGGAAGAGAGAATACCCTTAGGCCAAAGAGAGATGATTCTGGGAAGAGAGAATACCATGGACAGCCTAGTGGGGACAATGATGAGGTCCAAGAAGGACCTTGGAAGTTAGCTGTGGTTTCATTCCCTAGAGACCTGGGGAGCTATAGGAAGAGCATATTTGGAGATAGCTTACTAGTTCATGTTATGAAGAGATTAGTTAGTTTTTATAGCTCAGACAGAAGGCTTTCCTCCCTCTGACTCTTAACAGTTGAGGAGGGGATAATGGTGTGTCCCTCCATGCTGTCTCATGGGTATACTGTTCTTGAAATTCAAAAAGGGTTCCCAACCAGCTTCCATGCAACAGACAGACCCTGTCAGCACGCTCCCTGCTGTGCTTCGGCACATTCACCTTGCGCAGCCTTTCTTGATAAGAAAAGTGCATGGTCACAAATTGGTAATATGGTTGAATTTGCTTTTTTTTTATTGCAGAAAGATGATTTTCAGATGTATGCAAAGTATTGTCAGAATAAGCCCAGATCAGAAGCAATTTGGAAGAAATACTCAGAATGCAGCTTTTTCCAGGTATAGTAATTGTTCAGGTATTGGATAAACTTTTCCTGGGAGATACAATGATATTTATTATTTATAAATTCACTTTCTAGTGTAGGTTATTTGGATGGATAGACAAACAGATTAAAAAGCAAGCTGATACCCCCAAAACAAACACAGGCACATGCACACACATGAACTCAAACACAAGCACATATATGGTGTCCCTAGAGGCAACCACTTTCAACTCTTTTATCTACTTTAGTGTTTATCTCTTTTTCTCCAAATAGCCACGCTTAGTGCTATTTTGTACCATAGAAAATGAGAATTTAGCTCTCTCTCTCCTCCTCTCCTCCCAACATGTGCCACATCCTAACACACACACTACTTTCCCATGTAAATCTTTCAACATAGGTACATTATGACTTTGGTTAGGCTGGCATGCAGTTAAACTGTTGAGACTATGAAACTTCTGTTGCGGTGTTTGTCTTCTATTGTATCTTTCTGCTGAGGATTCTGTTTCTGCCATTATGTTTTTAATTTTGAAGAGCCTCTACTCTGTTTTTTCACTGATCCTTTTAAAAGAAACATGTTTTTTTTTTCATGAATTCAATATCTTATCTGCATGGAGATAATAGCAATAGATTTTGCTTTTTAAAAGAAGTTTTACTTCCTTCATAGTGTCTGTTGTGCTCAGATAGTTTTCTTTTTGATCACTTTGTTCCCTATCACCCATAATAGATACTTTTCCCAAATGTCCGGTGATCCTTGTTTGTCCACGTACATTAGGGGTTGGCACTGCCAAACTCAGTTTTCCTGTGCTTGTGTGGGTTTACTGACCGTGGTCTTCATTTTTTTTTAAAGATTTATTTATTTATTCGTACAGAACTGGGGTACAGGCCAGAGGTGCAGAGGCAGTGAGAGGCTTCACCAGAGACAGAGTGGGGAGCAGAACAGGCAGATTGACGAAGTACACTGCTGAGGGGAGCAGCAGGCCGGTCAGGAGAGGTCTGCCGCGCCATGGGGGCACCTCCAGGGCAGGCGGGGATCGAACTCATGCAGAAGTGGCTTAAGCCTCTTTGTGCTGTGCTTTAACCCGCTGTGCCACTAGGGAGGGCCCGTGGTCTTCATTTTTAGGTGATTTGTCTCCAGCTGTTTTGGGGGTGGGGGCGGGATTCACAATACCTATGTTTAGGTCCTTTTTCTCAGGCTGGTCAGATTTCCCATTCTGCAGAATAAAAATTTGGCTGCTAGTATTCTGGTAGCAAGTGGGGGAAAACTGAGAGACTCTAATCTGGTAAGTAAATATTCAAGTAATCTCTTTGTTTCCAAATCAGAAGGCCTTCTAAGTTAACTTTTTTCAGATAAATAGCCATTTTGTTGTTGTTGTTGTTATGGAGAGGGGAGACTTCCACCAAGTTGCAAATAGTGGTGTGGTTATCTGAGAGACTTATCACTTCCCCCTCCTTTAAAAAAAAAAAGATATTTATGCTACTAAATTCTGTTGACTGGTAGTTTTATTGAGATATAACTGAAATACTGTAGAATTTACCCTTTTAAAACGTACAATTAGATGGTTTCACTGTACTCACAACCATGTACACTCATCACCACACTCAATTTAAGAATATTTTCATCAGTCCTCCCAAACCCCCATACTTTTAGTCATCACTCTACATTTTCCTCTAATCCCTTAGCCCTGTGCAATCACTAACTTCCTGTCTATTGCTTGGCATATTCTGGACATTGCATATGAATGGAATCCTAATTATTCGGTCTTGATGTTGGCTTCTTTCACTTAACATAATTTTTTTCCTAAAGATTTATTTATTTATACATACAGAACTGGAGTACAGGCCAGAGGCTCAGGGGTGGCGAGAGGCTTCACCAGAGACAGAGTGGGGAGCAGAACAAGCAGATGGAGAAAGTATACTGCTGAGGGGAGCAGTGTGCGGGTCAGGAGAGGTCTGCTGCGCCATGTGGTCACCTCCAGGGCAGTCAGGGATTGAACTCATGGTGAAGTGGCTTTAGCTTCTTAGTGCTGTGTTTTAACTCGCTGCGCCACTAGGGGGGGCCCTGAACATAATTTTTGGGAGAACCTTCCACGTTGTAGGATGTGTTGGTTCTTGATTCCATTTTATGGCCATCCATCGGCAAGATAGACCACGTTTTACTTACTTACTTGGTATTTGGACATTGGGTTGTTTTCACCTTTTGTGTTCAATTTTTTCATGAACATGTACTTTCATCCCTCTTGGCCTGTATCTGGGTATGAAATTTCTGGGTCATAAGGCAGCTCTTTATTTAACTTTCTGAAGAGCTGTTGGATTATTTTCCAAAGTTGCTGCAGTGTTTTGTATTCCTATCGGCAGTCTTAGAGGCTTGTAATTGTTCTACTTTCTCAGCAACCCTTCCTTTTTTTAAACCTCACCTTCATCTCCCACTTTCAGAGGTACTTGGTGTCTGTAATTCAGGAGTCTCTGAGGAGAGCGGGTGGGAGGTGTTCTGGTACATAAATTGAATTCTTCTTTGCCTTTTCCCTCGGCTTGCTTGAGATTCATTTTCTTTGAATGTGTTCAGTTGTTCCCTACTTAGCAGTTTGATTTCCAGCTTCCAAATTTTGATGTTTTCAACTCTTCTATCTCAGTAGCTTTGGAATTTGCTTCATAGAAAATAACATCTCCATCGTTTAAGTTGGGTTTCATGAGCAGTCAGGTGCCTCTCCAGTCCTCCATCTTTGCTTTTAATCCGCCATCTAATTATTTGAATTCGATTGTATGTTAGACTTTATCCATATCTAGAGTATGGGCCTAGAATTTAAACAGGTTTATCCTCTCCTGCTCTCTTCATATTCCACCCTTCCTGGATGTATATTTCATCCTAAGCAGCCCTGTCTTGCCCTAATTATGGACCCTCCGATGTTCCCAGGACCCAAAGTCATGCTCTTTGTATTGATAGTGGCCGTGAGCCAACAATCAGATGAAATATAGCACCAGGAGACGAGGATTATATTTTTCTTGTGATGTTAAAAAAAACCCTCTTCACATCCAGTCTGATTTATATTCAGCACAGCCTGTTTCTGTTCTGGACCTTGGCCTGTAGAGCTGAGCCATTTGCTGATTTCCTTGTACATACTGGAGAACTTTTTTCCCTATCTGGTCACTCACTGCTTTCTCGCCTTCTGAGCTTTCCACATCAGTGTGAATTTATATGTAAAACCTTCTTATCATTGAAATGTTGATGTTTTCTACCTCTCACACCCTTGAATTAATGTTTACTGGAGTTTCTCAGCTCTACTGCCTCATCATTACCAGACATGTAGCTACAATTTTTTTTGACTAAATCCTCCTTGGAGTGTAAGGAACATGCGTTAGTGGGTCTAATCAGTACACACTTGGCATTTTCGCAGGTACTTTTTTATTTAAATTTATTGATTATTATATTTTATCAACAGGCATGTCAAAGGAAATTACAACACAGACTTGGCCTGGATTCCTATTTACTGAAACCAGTGCAGCGAATTACTAAATATCAGTTACTGTTGAAGGTAATTACATGAAGCATTTGTCTCTTTCCTGACATCTTTGCTTCAGACGTGGCAAAGTCATCAAGAAGGACAGGTAGTGTCTGCAATTGAAGTGCTGGAGGCAGAGACGTGAAGCTGAGACTGCCCAATATCTTCTTAGCTAATTATCCATACAAATTCCGTCAAAGTATGTGTGTTTACTGCAGAACATTTACTGTTGCTAAGAACTTACACCAGTACTTCTTGTAGTTTTGAGGCTGTGTTTCACGAGAGCCTTCCTTTTTTTTGTTGTTAATTTTTATTTGTAACAGTTTATTTTTACATCATTTTGTACATTTTTTTTCCATCTCAGTTGTAATACGAGAGCCTTCTTAATGAAAAATTAAGATGGCACATCGGTCGTGCAGTGGGAAGGCTTGCTAAAATGCCGTATTCAGTATAAACACAGCGTAGCTTCCTTTGAATTGCCTTATCATATGTTGTATGGTACATGCATCACAAGTGAAACAAAGTATTATATGCAGAGATCCCCAGAAATGTGTAATCACTTTAAAAATTTGTCTTTAGTGTGTGCTAATAGCTATTGTTCTTCAGTTCCAAAAGCACTGAATGGTCTTTTCTTTATACTGTTTAATAATCCCTATTCCTTTTCTTCCCCAAATTTGACATTGTTATTAAATATGGCATTAATGTGACAAATAGCATATGAAAGAAATTACTCAAAGATGGCATTATCTTGCCGTTCCTCCTTGAAAGCATGTTAACCCAAAATGTATTCATTTTCTCCAGCTATTAATAGCTGTCTAATAATAAGTTTAATCCCTGATTTGTAATTACAGGAGCTATTAAAATATAGCAAGGACTGTGAAGGATCAGATCAGTTAAAGCAGGCACTTGACACAATGCTGGATTTACTGAAGTCAGTTAATGATTCCATGCATCAGATTGCAATAAATGGCTACATTGTAAGTAGATTCCAAAGCTTGTTGCAGTTTCAGGGGTAAGCATGTTAACATTTCTTTCTTCCTTTCTTGGAACCAGTTGGGAGGAGGTCCGAGGCAGACGAATTGCTGTCTATACATCAGCATTATCACTGATAATGACTTGGCTCCAGACCAACAGTCAAGTAGATTTGCAACAATCCCCTTTTCCCCAGCAGCCTACCCCTAAGTCCAGCTCTTGCTGAAGAAATGGTTGGGTCTTTTAAGGAGACACATTATCCATATTTGTTGCTTGCCTTTGTCCATGGAAAGATGTAGAAGAAATAGGTCAACTCCTTAGAGTTAGCGCCACCCAGTGGGCAGACTTGGAGTGGTACATCTCATTTGCCAGTCAGGATCCAGGAAGAAATGGGGAGTCACCCTACCTGAGATACCCACCCTGTGGATACCTGAAGCTGGGGAAAAGGAGGTTTCTTATATCTGCCACTCCCAGTGATTTCCTCCATAGGTGACACATGGTATATGCCACTGTAAAAAGCGAGGGTGAATAAACTGTTAAAAACTGAGTGAACTAAGCTTTGGTGTCTTAGTGGCTCAAGCTGAACACTATAATGTTGATGGTAGAGGTCTGAAAGGTAGCTGGCCTTCGAGTAATGAGTTTTTTTTCCATTCTAGGGAAATTTAAATGAACTGGGCAAGATGATAATACAAAGTGCATTCAGTGTTTGGATTGGCCATAAGAAAGGTGCTACAAAAATGAAGGATTTTGCTAGATTCAAACCAATGCAGCGACACCTTTTCTTGTATGAAAAAGCCATTATTTTTTGTAAAAGGCGAGTGGAGAGCGGAGAAGGGTCTGATAGATACCCGTCGTACAGTTTCAAGAACTGTATGAAAGTAAGACAATTTGAATTGTGTGATGTTGTGGTATTGTCTCATTCATGTTTATATGCCTCTATATATTCGGATTTGAATGCCTTTCCATTTAAAATGACTGCTTTCATACTCTAGTAATACATCTCTTTGTTTAGAAGATATCTTAAGTATGAGGTCTTATTCAGATGCGAAGAAGTCAGGAAAGCCAGGGCTTTGCTGTTTGAGATGAGAGCTTTGCCTCCTTTTTCCTCCCTTGGTAGTAGTAGTGAGCCCACTTTTATATCTCTAATCAACATGAGTTGAGAACCAGGAATTTGAAATTCATGGCCTACAGGGTTCAGACATCTCGCTCTGTGTGAGTACCTGCTCCTTGAGCAGGCTTTTTATCTAAGTAGGCAAGTTTGACCCAAATCCATTTGGTCCAGTTTTTATTTGTGGGGTGATGTAGTATTTCTGATTTGTATCTATTTTCACTTTTTTTTTATTACAAAGTTTATTTTTACATCATTTTGCACATTTTTTTTTCCATCTCGATTGTAATCCTCGCGGGTTTCCCATCACCAAATCACCCCTGTGCCACCACCATAGTCCCGTGCATTTCCCTCCCTCTCCCCCCACCGTTTTTGATCCCATTCCCCACTCCACCCCCACAAAATGTCTCTGGTATATGGTTGTTCATTATTTTTGTTATTTTCTCGCCTGGTCCATTATACTCCTGCTATGAGAGAAACCATCCAGTATTTTTCTTTCTCTTTCTGGCTTATCTCACTAAGCATGATCTTTTCCAGCTCCATCCAAGTTGCTGCAAAAGACATGTGTTTCTCTTTTATGGTTGTTGAGTAATATTCCATTGTATATATGTACCACATCTTTCTAATCCAGTCATCTACTTTTGGGCATTTGGGCTGCTTCCATGTTTTTCCAATTGTAAATAAAGCAGCAATAAACATGGGGGTAGGGTACAAGTATCTTTTTCAATCAGTGTTTTTGTGTCTTTTGGGTAGATACCTAGGAGTGGGATGGCTGGGTCGTAGGGAAGCTCCATGTTTAGCAGTTTGAGGAACCTCCAAACAGTTTTCCATAGTGGTTGTACTAGTTTGCATTCCCACCAGCAATGCAGGAGAGTTCCTTTTTCTCCACATCCTTGCCAACATTTGTTGTTGCTAGTTGTTTGAAGATGTGCCATTCTCACTGGGGTGAGGTGGTATCTCATTGTGGTTTTAATTTGCATCTCCCTTATTACGAGTGATGTTGAACATTTTTTCATATGCCTGTTGGCCATCTGCATTTCCTCTTTGGAGAAGTGTCTTTTTAGCTCTACTGCCCATTTTTTATTTTCACTTTTAACTTTAATGGGCAGTGATGATAGGCACACCAACGGAATTGTTCTAAAGTACAGTAGAGGAAGGAAGGACTTGTATCAGGTGATGAAGTCGTGAGCATTCAAGCCTCAATGGTTACCACAGAGGCTGAGGGTAGGGTCTCTCGAGGGAAGGCAGACAGATAGGCTTGTTGATTTACAAGGTACAGTAAATATATCTTACCTGACACTTGCAGGGGAAAGAAATCACTCTGATATGTTTCATTGGTTCCCCAATAATGCCCTAGTAGTACCCTGAAAGGAGAAAATTGTGAGGCATGACTGCAAGGATTAAGACCAGAATTACTAGGGAAAAAAGTGATGTCACTAACAGAAAGTTGGAAGTTCAGCTAACTTACTTCTTCTTGCTTACCTACCATGACCTTCCAGGATTAAATAATAGCTAGCTTTACCAGTCAATCTGTGATGGAACAACCTGGGGGGTCTGGTTTCAAAGCCTCCCCCTGGGCAGAGGACCAGTGCAGATGCTCTACCGCCAGCAGAGTCTTCACTCTCAAAGAGCCCTTGCCTTTACTTCATATCAAGTTGGAATCCGTGGCCCGAGAATGTTCCTTCTAATGATCGTGTTCTACATTTTAAGTGGCTGCTTCTCTGAGAAGGAAAGGCCCTAAGATTATAGTCAGGTGGAGAGATTAGGGTTCTTCAAATTTTTTCAGTTCATGCAAATATTGTTTTTTTTTTAATTAAATTTAACACGCATGGTGTATAGTATGTGTTAGGCACCGTTCTGAGTGTTTCTACATATTAGTGTTAACTCATTTAATTCTCTTAGCAACTTCACATATCTGAAGTGGAAACTGTTATTAACCCCATTTGGAAGATAAGAAACCCAAGTTCCAGAGAATTGAGTAATTTGTCTGAGCACATAGTTAGTGAGTAGTGCGGTGCAGATTCAGGCCCAGGCAGATGGCTGCAGGATCCATGCTCTTACTCACTGTACATGCTGGAAGGCTTTGTTCGTGTTCACTCCTTTCATCCATTCCTTTTTATCCCCATTCTCCACACTTAATCTCCTCTGCATCCCTGGAGCAACCATTCTTATTTATTTGATGTTGATCCTCCAGTTAGTGTATTCTCTTAAATGTATCCTAATATTCTGTGCACAGATAGTTTTGATTTACATAAATTGTATCTTGTTATAATTATCACTTTCCTTCTGTCTTTTTTTTTTTTTTTTTTTTTTTTGTTCTCAGAAATGCTTTTCAAGATAACAGCCATGTCACTGTTTTATACCTGGTATCTTGCTCCTAATTGTTTCATAGCAAGTCAGCCTAGCTACCCCCTTTTTTTTTTTTTACTGTGTTTCAAGATCAAATTGTTAATAATACTAACCCAGGAATTAAGTCAACTTTATCCCAGAGACAAAAATAAAAAGTCTTAAGAGTGAAGTTATTGGTTATAATACTAGAGTTGTTGACTTACAGGAGAACTTTGACCAAGCTAGCAGACATCTTCACACTTACCTGCTAACAGAAAATACATTAGGTCAAACCTTGGGGCCCTGGATACTTGACACAGTGAGATAACTTCAGATAAAATGCTTTAAACAATATATGTGAAAATATATCCATAGTTAGCAGGATCATCAATGAAAATGCAAAGGATGAGACATTGTTTTGCTATATGTAGTCTATTATATAATTATACTCATAGTTAGACTCATCACTTTGCTTCTAGATTGTGGAACTGAGTAAGTTGTCATGATATAAGCAACAGGTAAGTAGAGTAAAAGAACCTCAATAATAAATACCTCTATATTTTATTACTTGAGGAAATACATACAATCCACAAAGCACAAATTGATTGTTTTTAGTGCATCATTTGTAAATGAGTTGTTTGGAATGGAAAACAATATTTTCTGATGAATTTAATGGTAGATTTCCAAGGTAACTAAAAAACACTCATTTTACCTATATCAATGTGCTATATGGATGTGATGAAAACCAGCAAAACTCTTAGAATTCAAATAAGGGAATACTTGGAGAGCAAACTCATACTTCAAAAAGCTCTGTATGTGATCTGAGCATTTAATACATGTTATTTAATCCTATGTCAACTCAGAAATAAGTGTTCTCACTTTATAGCTGAGGAAACCGAAGTTCAGAAAGGTGAAACAACTTGCACCAAGACACACAGCTAGTAAGTGGTAAGATGGGAATGCAGGCCAGTCTTAGACTCCAAAGACAATGTGCTTCCCACCGTAGGCTATTAAGATGAAAATCATACATTGAAACAAAATTAATTGAAATAGAGTTTGAATGTGAGATGATTATTCATTTTCAGTCCTATTGTTGAGCAGAAGTAGGTTAGGTAGAGTGTAGGAATATAAGGATATTTTGGGGTATTCTGAAAGTAACTTCTGATTATATTCAGGGTAGGTGGATATAATATGTCACCTTTCATTTCTATACCTCATCCCTTCTCCTTGGTGCGGGGATCTCACTAGCACTACTTTTAATCAAATTAGGGTCATTTGGGGGGGGGGTTCAAAAGTGGAACACACGATGAGTTATTCCTTTAGGTGATCAGGGAGGGATTGAGGGGGAAAAAAGAATGGAGGACAGGAAGAAAGTATGTGTGTACAAGGCAGTGAAATTGTTCAAAGTGGAATTAATTAAGCTGTTAACAGCACAGGAGGAAAGAAAATAGAATTTGTGCTTTGTGCAGTCATATGGAGAAGAAAAGCTGGTGAGGCAGAAATATTGCTTATAAACCTTACCCCACTTAAAAGAAGACCTCACTCTTCCATGACAGCATTTGTTTTCTAGAGACCAAGAAATTAGTAGAAATAGAGGAGATTATCATATACCTGACTGGTGCTTTCCTGGCCTATAAAGTGGGTATTTATAAATTGTAGAATTTGTATTGAGATAAATAAGCTTGTTAAGATTAACTTACCTGACAAATGATTATGAAAAATTGCCATTTAAATTCAGTTTGAATGACCTTTTTTATTGCTGTTTAATTACTTTTGCTTCTGTTTTTGACACAGTAATTTGTTTTAATGGTGTGCAGTTAATTTATAACAGAATTCAATCTTACATAAACTATATGGATGTTCACAGTGACAACATTTGTTTTGATCATTGAAATGGAGTATGTAATCTGAGCTATAAGTGCATAACTTAATGAAAATGTTTAAAATATCTGATCTATGAGCATCATTATCATTGTACATCTTTGAATTATAAAATGTATAGTTTGCCCAGTGAAAAATTCTCTTTCATTGAGAATATGATGGAGGTAGGTATATAACTCCCCTTTCAAAATCTAATGCTCAAGAAAATTTTGACATACATTATAGATGAATGAAGTTGGCATCACTGAACATGTAAAAGGAGATACCCGCAAATTTGAAATATGGTGTGGTGAGAAGGAAGAAGTTTATATTGTCCAGGTTGGTGATTTTAAAGTTACTCTAGAAGTCATAATTAATATTGAGATACCAAAAATCCTAATTTATTTCTTGGGAAGTCAATGGATTGGTGGATGTATTTTTAGCTATTCGTGGAAACAAAAATTATCTTGGGTATATTGCAGAAATTTTTCTCTATTTAGGTCACTTAGTTGGTGTATCTTTGTTCTTTGTGATGTAGTTAAAACAGTTTTCAGAAGCACATGCTTTCTTTAACTTGAGGTATGCCTATGATGCTTTGTAGGGCTTTAGGTTTTCACAACTATTCTAGGAGTCTTACTAGTTACAGCTGGTCGCCAGGGTCTCAGCAAGTGTTTCTCTGACCCCATCATGTCCGAAGAGTTATAGAGTTGTAGCAGCTCGGAATTTTTGTAATTGCCACAGGGATGAGTGTGACCATTCAGATTTGGTCATGGTTTCTAAGAACACGCTTAAGTGCCTGGACAGAGGTTTGGAAGTGGTGGTGGTGGGGCGTGAGGACATTTCGGGAAGATGTCATTTTTTTTTTAAGTACTCAAGGATTTATTTATTTAGACATGCAGAACTGGGGTACAGGCCAGAGGTGCAGGGACAGTGAGAGGTTTCACCAGAGACAGAGTGGGGAGCAGAACAGGCAGATAGATAAAGTACACTGCTGAGAGAGCAGTGGGTGGGTCAGGAGAGGTCTGCTGTGCCATGTGGGTCACCTCCGGGGCTGGGGATCGAACTCACACTGAAGTGGTTGTGGCTAGCTTGCAGTGCTGCATCCTAACCGGTTGCGCCACCAGGGAGGGCCAGATGTCATTTTTAAAAAGTATATATTGTTTTTTAGTGAGGTAGCATTGGTTTACAGCATTGTATATGATTTAAGGGTTCACACCCCGTTAGAGGTATATTAGCACACCACACCCACCACCAGGGCACCCATAATCTTCCCAATAATCTCCTCTCAACTTCCCTCCCCTGCAGCCTCAACTCTGCAGTCAGATTTCTAGGGTGGATTTGGTTAATTTTGTCCATTCCTTTCTGTGGTTTCTCTATAGTCCACATATGAGTGAGATCAGACGAAGGAATTATCAATTCAGTGTTTGTATCAGGGCTTGTGCTATTAGCTGTGGGAAGAGTGATTTTTTTTCTTTAATTTGACATGTTTATCATTACAGTTCATAAAAATACATTTTCATAGTTTAATCTACACATGTGACTTCTTGCTAGATTTTAGTAAACTTGCCGTGGGAGAATATGTATGGAAGCTCAAGATCACCCCGCAAGCAATAGTTTGTCTTTTCAGAAACAGTACACATGACCTTATTTTATCAAAATTAAACATAAACAAAGAAGAAATAAGTTAAATTATATTCACATTTTCTCTGAGTGTTATCCGTTAAGGGCAGTTGCAAAATGGTTTTGATTCTTATTTCATCTAGTTTGATGGCTTTTGCTTTGTGGAAGTTTAAAGAATCAAAATGTTAGACAGTTAAGGGTGGAGACCATGTTTGATACACTCCATTACATTGGTTGTGCTCTAAAACAGCCTTTTTACAGGTAAATACACCCTCTCCTTCCCCCTTTAATCTCCAGGCTCCAAGTGTAGACGTGAAGATGACATGGTTAAAAGAAATAAGAAGCATTCTGTTGAAGCAACAGGAACTTATGACAGGTAAATTCTAGCACACAAGAAGTGAGCACAGTGACTCAGATTTGGTGACAATTTTCAGTCACTGGCTGCGATACTTTATGACCCTATAAGTAATGAAAGGGTTGTTAAACTAGTTAACTAGAGATTGGAATTCAGGAGGTTGCTTATGCTGTTGTGAACTTTAACTGGAACATGAACTCTACTGCTTGCAGATGGAGGAATAGACATAGTAATAGGCATGTTATTTGCCATAGTAGACCAAAGGTGTGAGTCCTCAGCCCTCCCCATGGAGCAGTTCCACCTGGGACCTCAGGGAATCCATGCTTGGTAATGCTGGAGGGTGTGGTTGTGTCATAAACTTGAGTTTCTTAAATAAAAAATACATGGTTTGAGCTCTTTCCATTGTTCAAATTCAGACTGACCTTTCTGCTGGTTATTTCAAGTCTGTGAGTGTTAATATGAATGGGAATGTGATGTGTGTGTAAGTTACTGGTCTTCAAGGAAGTAAAAAGTGTGGCTTCTGAATGTTGCTTACAGAAGCTTTCTTTCATTTCACAGTTCAAAAGCAAGCACAAAATAACCAGTTAACAGAACAAGATCCATTTTCCTGTCAACGAAATGATGAGTAAGTGATTATTCTTTAAGAAATATCACTCCTACAGCCTTTGATTTGCTGTGTGTAACATGAAGTAACATTATTAAAGCATCTCAGATAAAAACTGTCCTTTTAGCAGTAAATTCATCATGTGAACAGACCATTTTCTCAGTTCCAGCCTTACACCTGGAGTCTGAGAGTCCTTACTAGTTCTGCCATTGGTTTCTCAATGTTAAAAATAATGCAATACTTTGAGCTAATATTTAAACATAATTTAAAGACTTGGTTCTCAGTGTATGGGGAGAGGCGTTGCATATAGGATAAAAGTAACAGTGACTGCACTCAAGACTTTCTCTTCAAGCTATTTTTGGTCTTGTTTGATCTGATTGGAGATGGAAAGTTGCGAGCAACGTGCAGGATGGCAGCTGCGTCTGGAGAGCCCTTGTTGCTGACGTGGTCTCTCCTTTTATGTAGTTCGGAAATAGTCACGGATCCCGGCAGGGAACTGTGTCTGGACATAACCCAGGAGTATTTGAGGAAGGTAGTGAGCCAAAATGATAGGTCCGCTACTGCTTTGGGGTTGTAGTTCTTGTATTCTGCCTTTAGGAACCCTATAAGGTGGCACATTCAACGTGTACATAGAAACAATCTCTACACTGGTTCCAAAGCCTGGCACAGAAATTCAGATTTCACGCAGTAATTGTCTTTACAGTACCTGACACAACTCAGCAGTGTTCACCAGATTAAGATTTTATCAACATTTCCATGCACCTTACCTAAATCTCAGTGTTTAAGTTCAGAGATGACGTGGATTTTGTTTCTGTTTTTTTCTCTAGTGTGACTGCGTTATCGTTAACAGTTAAAATCATATATATTTAAAGAGTACAACTTGATTTGATACACATACACTTTGTGAACTATTCACCACAATCAAGGGAAATCACACGTCCATTACTTCACAGTCCTGCTGTGAGTGTGTGTGGTGAGAACATTTAACATACACCTCTCAGTAAATTTCAAGTGTATCACACGATATACAAGAGGGAGTTTAGACAGTAGATCTGCCTGTTAAAAAGAGACCCTTCGAGCTTGGACCTGAGGACTCAAGCTTTCCTATATTCTGAACTATCACTACACAGACGTAGATGAGGGGAAGGTCAGCTATGTTGGAATAGATTCTCAGAGCATGCCCTCAACATATGCTGTTAGTGGCTGAAATACTACTTTTCTGTTTTAACTATCAGGTATTTTCTATTTTTCAAAATCTATGGATTTGCATGAGTTTGCATAACTATATAATTTGGGGAGTACAACTTCACCTCTCCCCAGGTGCACATGCTTCACTCTCCGTCCACCAAAGCTCCAGTGCCAGTCCCCCAGCATCTTCCCTTCTCCTTCCCTCTCACTCTGGTAACTGTTATTGTTTTAACAGAATTGCAGTTACTTTTGTTATGTTTTGATCAACATTTGCTATCTTTGGCTAAGAAGTACTATTTTTAATTAAACATCCTTAGATTGTATAGAAGCTCATTTTCACATATTCACACCATCAGAAAGCAACAAGGAGCTTTTATAAGTTCGGAGGAAACGGAAGCAGAGCCCAGCAATGCTATGGCAGATGGCGCAGCGCTCTCCGCACTTCCAGTGGAAGGGACCTCAGGTATGGTCGTGGCCAGCAGTTGGCATTCAAGGCTGTGCCACTTATTTTCTCTTAACATTAATTTGCAAAACCTACTTGTCTCTTATCTTTGGATAAAGGAAATAAACCTAACCCACTTTTATAAGACTCTTCTGTCTTACCTGGGCAAGATGTTCTGGCACGCACTGCAGAGCAGTGATTCTCAAAGTGTGGTCCATTTAGCATCTGCATCACCTGGGAACTGGTAAGGAGGACATAGACTCTGGGTCCACCTCCAGCATTCTAAATCACAAGTCAGAAGGGCAGACAGTCACCTGCAATTGGATAGATTGGATAGATTCTCGGTGGTGATTCTTTCCAATGTATGCTCAGATTTGGCAACCCCTGCCATCGAAGAGATGAATAAAACCCATATACTGACTTCATGGAATTCACATCTCACTCACTATAGGTTTAACGGATGGAAATGAGCCATTGACAGCCAGAATATTTGTTTTTCTTATGTAAAGTGTGTCGTTTTAACTGATTTCAACCAGTTTGGTTGCTTTGGCTAATACTGAGTGCCAGGAATGGCGCACAGCTTGGTCAGATAGTCTCAGGAAGATACCCGCAGCTGCCTTGCCAAGCTAACAGAGCAGGGAAATAAATTAACCAGCAATTCATTTGGAATGTAATTGTTACAGGGTAGCCCAGAGTGGACTGGGCCGCCTGTCTGTGGGGCCTCACCCACACGCTCACAATTCAGTTATACTGCAGGTACACACAAAAGGGTCAATAACGGGTTTATTTACAAAAGGGGAAAGGAATAGGAAACAACCCAGGGAAAAAGCGGGATACAAAGTAACTGGAATACCTTACGGATAGGCTGACTGAACACACAGAGTCACGCAGTCAGGGGGAGCCATTTCCCCAGCGAGATATGCAATCACGCCCTATTTATCCCCCAAATGTCCCAGAATTCCTGCTAGCTCCACCCTTGGGTCCTCGCAGCTCTCTCCTTGGTACTGCTGGGAGTTGCAGTTTCGAATCACTGGCGTAGGGGGTGGAGTCCAGAAAGCTGGAGTAGGGGGTGGGGTCCACAAGATTGCAGAGTTTCTTTAGGACATCCTTCCCCTTAACATAAAGAGTGTGTTAACAGGCACATACAAGGTTATTTAGACGCACCTGGCAGCGTCACTCCAACAACTTTGGTGTGAACAAGCATAGACTCTCCAGAGTGCCTGATACTCAGAATTCACATATGTTGGTCCTCAGGCTTCAAGAGTTCTCTTTCAGAAAATTATTTGGCAATAATAATGGCAAATGTGCGTAATGTTCAATTATCTGTTTATAACTCACTTCACTCAGGGTGGTCAGCTCTCCAGCCCCTGCACTTTCATTTGGCAGAGAGGGAAACTAAGTCAGAGAAAACTGATGATTTTTCCAAGGTTACATAAATAGTGTAGTGTGACCAAGATGAAATTCTCCTCATGCTCTGCCTGAATTGAATTGCTTAATCCATGTGAATTCTGTGTATTTCATTAATTAAGCACCATGAAATTCTCTTAATTCTTTGCACGAGACTGCTTAATCCACAGGGATTTTGTATAATAAATTCTTTATTAATTAAGCACCTTCTATGCACACATACAATGTATAACCTGTGATCTCTGCCAAATTCAAACTATAAAACAAGCCAAAATAATTATATTGGGGGAGGGGAGGGTCCATTGGAAATGGGAACAGTAGTGTGGTGAGGAATAGACTGGAAAAAAAATAGATTGGACTTGTAGCTGTAGTTCATGTGCATATTGATTCTCAGCAATGAGCACCTGAAGGATTTATAATGTATAATGTATTGTTATTTCCATGAAAAAAGAAAAGGAATTCTTGCAGAAATGCTCAGGACAGTTTTATATGAGAATCCAAGTTCAAATAATCAAAATAAATTCCTGGACAAGACCAAAAAGAATATTACACTTTAATATAAAAGCATGTAATAAGGGCTGCTTGGGTGGGGCCAGTAGAAATGTTATAGAAAGAATTTTTGGAAGAGATGATTTTATGTAAATCATATAACATAAATCTCTGGAATGTTATTTAACTGATTATTATTTGTAATAACTCTAACTAACCCAAACCTGAAACCATCTTAAAAAGTAAAACAAGTCTATGACCTCCTATGCGCTTTTTGACACATCAGGAAGCTTAAACTACGACAGCAGCACCGTAGGCTTTATCATAGCAACAGCCTCTGCGTGGAGCATGGAGCCTTGATCATCGCAGTTAGTTTTACTTCTCTCCTCGTGGAGACCAGCACCATTAAATAACTGCCACCTGCCGTATTTTCTTATAGTTTGGACTGAGATGTTACCACGTTCCGAAGTTCCTGCCCAGCCTGAAGAGTGGTCCAGAAACTATTTCTGCTCTACTTATGATGACAATGAAGAAGAAGAAAGGCCTCTAATGGTTAGTAACGACATGCAAAGATAGAGAAATGAGCTCCTATGTAACACACAGAGGCGATCTTTGTCAGGATCCTTAGGTCGTTAGATGTGCTCCAGGGCCAGAAGATAGGAAACAAGTCTCATCAGGAACGTTCAGTAAGCACTTTTCTCTGTCAGTAGATCTTGTTTAAGTTTCTTGTGGAACTCCTACTGCAGCTGATGAAATGAGTAGTCACCTTCTAGGTCTCTTTGAGCAGCTGTACCTTCAGCACTGTAGGTTTTGTTTTACTGAGGCAGCTGTGGTTTACAGCATTCTGTATGCGTGATGCATGCATACCTCAGCGGGTGTGTCCCCCACCCCCACCCGCCACCACAGTCCATCGGTCCCTGTTCCCCCTTGACCACCTCATGCCTTTTCCCCTTCTGGTAGCCTCATTTCTACAGTCAGATGTCTAGAGTTTGTTTTGGTTAATTTTCTCTGTTCCTTTGTCTGGTTTCTTTGTATTCTACATATGAGTGAAATAATCTGATTTTGTCTTCTTCTGATTTATTTCACTTCTCATGATCTCAGTCCCATCCATTTTGTCACACATGGCAAGATCTCTTTTTTTATGCCTAAGTTGTATTCCATGGTGTATCTAGACCACATCTTCCACCCATCTGTCATTGGACACTTAAGTTGTGTGCATAGCTTGACTGTGTGAATAATGCTGCAATGAAAAGAGGGATGACTGTCCCTTAGAATGGAACACCACTGTAATTGCAATCTTGGCATTTGGGATAAAAATCACAGGATGATTTTAGTGGTGTTTCCAAAACGTGTCAATACTGCGAGTCTCTGCATATTAGCGCAAGGCCACTCTCTCAGAGTGAAGGCGGCTCCTTTGGGTAAAAGTGTTTTAGAGAAGAATTAGGTCACCATGTTGTTAGGGTCCTGGTGGGTTATTATAGGGGAGTTAGGACTGTTGGGCGTACATCTCCAGTTTCTGGTCACCAGCTTGGAGGGGGGCATGATGCTTGATAGTGGACTGCTCGGTGTCCTTAGAGGAACCAATTTAATTTGGCTGTTTTAGTGCTGGGCTAAGGGAACCACAGTGATGTGGTTGGCGCAAAGTAGCATGGCATCGACGCAAGCATGGTTCCTTTAAAAAGTTACGGGGTACTCTGTCATCTAGGATACCTGTTTGTATGGTAGCTTACCATACAGATATTGACAAAATGATTGCACATTTAACATACATAATATTAATGAGATAATAGACAGGTTTTATGATTCCAATTGGCAGAGGAGGAAGATGAGGCACAGAGCTGGTGAGGCATCTGCCCAGAGTTCAGTGTCTAGAATGGCTGTGCTCAGCTTTCTTTTTTTTTAAATGTATATATATTTTTTTACATCACTGTTCATTTTGTACATTTTATGCAAACATTCTAATGCTGGAACCCTTTTACATTTTTCTGGTTTTTTTTTTGGGGGGTGGCCTTTTTACATTTTTAAAAATTTTTGAGAACTCTCATTTTTGTAGGTCACATCAACCTGCTATTTACCATGCTATAAATGAAAACTGAGAAGTAGAAAAGAATTCATTATTCAAACCTATTAATGTCCCAATTGCACTTTATATTTATATAGAGTTTTTACTAAAAATTTGCTTTTTACAAACAACCAATTTTGTGCAAAGAGCAGCCTTTTAAATCTTTTTCTAAATCTCTTTAATATCTGGCTTAGGAAAAGACAGCTGGATTCTGCATTTTAAGATTTATTTATTTATTTATGCATACAGAACTGGGGTACAGGTCAGAGGTGCAGGAGCAGTAAGAGGATTCACCAGACGAAGAGAGGGGAGCAGAATAGGCAGATCGACAAAGTACACTGCTGAGGGGAGCAGAGGGCAGGTCAGGAGAGGTCTGCCGCGCCATATGGGTCACCTCCCTGGCCGGGGATTGAACTCACTGTGAAGCAGCTGCAGCGATCTTCATGGTGCTGCACTTTAACCCCTTGCACCATGAGGGAGGGCCCTGCAGCTGGATTCGTATATCTGTGTTTGCATTTAATTGCTTGTGCCATCACACATCAGATAACCTCTAGAAAATGCCACTGTGTACTTGTACGAGGGCGAGAGTGGAAAGGTAAATAATGTCTTAATATACGTTTGACCTTACAGACTCCTGGAACTATCTCATCGGTCTGCTTCCCAAACTTTGAGAACTGGTTTAAACTAATAATAACAAGAACTTCCATTTTATCCGAGGATGGGAAGGAGAGGACAGTTGTTCAAAAGTGAACAATCAGGGAAAGTCAGTTTGGGTTTAAATGTCCAATCTAGACAATCTATGAAGAATTTGTCAAGAACCGACAGTCTTCATTAAGTGTCTTCCCAGCTGTGCTCTCAGACAATGAAGTGCATATGCAAAGTTGCTTAATGCTTTCATCACTAGGGATGGGAGTTTCATCAGAAGAAAAGCCTATGCATTGTCATCTTTTCTCCCAGCAGTTCCCTGAGGGGAGCACACACAAGACTAATGCAATACATTCTGTAATCCACGAGCAAAACAAAAGCCAACCCCCACAGCAAAACCAGTCAGAATGAACTGACTCTTTAGCTTCACTCCATCGAGTCAAAAATTAAAAAGCCCTGGGGGCTGCTCTCCTCGTGGGCACCCCAGCAGAAATGGCAAGTAGCTCAAAGAGACATTTGGTCACGTGACACAGGTAGAGTTTGGGGTTAATGCCTTGGAACGTGGGAAGACTCAGCACCACATATTTCTTTTCTTTCATTTTAAAAATAATTTAATTATGGCTCTCTTTTTAACATAATGTACTTAATGCGTAAGATATTGTGCTGGTAAGATTCTCATCTCAGAATACTTTTGGACTTACTGAAATTAATATTTCTCCTCTAGCTACTCTGTAACCAAATACAATCAGTGTGCCTTGGAGTATTTTGCTTATTAATGAGTCGAGTTTAAAATTATAGCTGCAAAATGATTAAGGCCAAATAAAACACATTATGATTTAATGTGCTTTTATTGGACCCAAAGCTTTTGTGCTTGTGATCTTTTACCTTTGCAAGCTATAGAGCGCCTCCAAATTTGGGGAAGGGGAGGAGGAAGAGACATTAGTAAATCTGTCTTTTCAGGGCCGTTGCCTTTTGTACAGTGCCAACATCAATTTTTCGTGAGCATAGCTTATAAATAACAGTATTTAAAAATTATTTTCATGCTTGTTTTTTTCTGGGTTTATGCTTATAATTCATGTAATTGAAATTAGTTGTGCTCTGCTACCTTCTGTGTAGTTCATGCTGTAACTCTCTTTTTGCAAATAAAAGTGACTTCTTCAGCTTCAACAAACACGTTCTGCTTCTTTCTCCATTACAAACCTCTCCATGTTTGTTCTTGCAAAACTGCTACAGCTACCACATTTACCACTGAAACCAAAGACTGAATTCTTTATGTCACAGAGCATGGAGGTAACTAGGGTTATTTGTTGTTTGTTTGTAGATTATTTATACATACAAGAACTGGAGTGTAGGCCAGCGGCATGTGTGTGTGTGTGTGTGTGTGTGAGAGAGAGAGAGAGAGAGAGAGAGAGAGAGAGAGAGAGGATTCCTCAGAGACAGAGTGGGGAGCAGAACAGGCAGATCTACTGAAATCCACTGCTGAGCGGGGCAGCAGGCTAGACAGTGAGGTCTGCCCTGCCATGTGGGTCAGCTCCCTGGCTGGGGATCAAACTCGTGCTGCAGTGGCTGTGGAGAGCTTCATCGTGCTGACACTTAGCTCCTTATGCCACCAGGGTTTTGCTATCATATTGTAATGTAATTTTTCAAAAACAACTTTCCTGTCTCTGGGCCCATACAGACTGCAGGGAAAGAGACTCGGAAGACCTCCTAACCAGCAGTGGAGATTCTGTATCTTGAGGCTGCTGAGGGCCAAAGCTAGGTCTGTGCTCAGTGGCCGATGGCCTCTACCTGGGGTCTGTGGCTGTCTGAACAAGTGTTCTGCTTTACTTGTGTCTCTGTTGTATAGTCTCAAGAAGCCAAAAGATCCTGTTTCTTATCCGTGTTCCATTTTCATTGCTTCAGCTGTGCCTGTTTAGCTCACTGAATGGAATGTTAACTTTTGGTGACTGAAAAGTGCTTAGAAAGAGATGCTAAGTGTCCTGTCACTCTTGTGCTTGACCTTTGGCTCAGACATTGCTGCCGAAACATATGGCTGCAGCATCACATTATATTGGTCACTTGTTAATTTATGAATAAGTGACTTTTGTCACATGTTTAGTGAATGCCTATTGATCAACCTGGGACCACGCTTTCTCACTTGACAGCATAGCCACACTTCTCTTAACCAGTTCAAATACTGGCTTTTTTTTTTTTTTGGTAGTCATCTACACTTATGTACATGACTTCATAGAACGCTGACTGCAAAGATGGTTCTGTCAAATACACTGTTCAATTATAGAGACCACAAGGCAGGAAGAAAATTTGCTCACTCGAGTACTGAAGGATTCTTTCATAATTCTTTTGGAAGTTTTATATGAAACCTCTCTCTCTTTTCATTGTGTCAATAACTAACTGAAATTCTGCTTTCGTTGTATACTCTGACCCTAAGGAGGAAGAGTATGACAGGAGGTAAAGCTTATTGATGGGTCATTATAGTAATAACCATTTTTGCTAGTAACCCAAGTCCTTTAAAAGTTCTACAAAGAACTCAAGCACAGCATCATGTAGGTCTTTGTATATATACAATAAGTTGGTGAAAATTTAAGCTGCAGTGCAATATATTTGGTTTGATTAACTTATATTACCATTATTGGCTACTAATTCATTTGTTACTTAGGTTGGTGAAAAATCTAAACAGAAGAAAAGAAGGTCTGATTCCAGGGAACAGTTTGCAGATTTTAACTGGTGGCAATAGGTTTTGGAATGCCAGAGATACAGGTATATTATGAACAGACTCTCTACTATTTACTTAAAGGCTAAACGTCTTAAAAATCTATTATTTATGTAACTGACATAGGGTAAAAACTTCTCTGCATTTACAAATAAAGTTGCAAGCACGTTCTATTTAAGCTAAGACTTCCCTTTTCTCTTTAATAGTTATATCTTTATAAATAAAAAATTTTAAAGCATTTTAACCTTTCCCTCACAAGGCTGATAGATTTGAATGATGTTGTTATGTCTTCCAAGATAGCTTTCAGAACTAAAAACTGATGTAAAGCTGATACTTTTCAGGTATCAGCTTTACTGTCTAAGAATGTTTTCCAGTGTGTTTTGTTTTTACTCTGTCCTAAAAGCATGTTATTTTCTTATGATTGACAAACACACAGACAGCTTTGTCTGTACTAAAGATTTAATGTGTGAAGGATGTGTAAAGCAATGAGAATAACCGAATGTTGCTTCTGCTACACCAAGCAAACTATCATATTTCTGTGTGCAAACTAGTAGTCTTATAAATTTTTCCCTGAGTCATACTGAACTATCTGTAAAAAGATAGCACCAAAGAGAAAAAGAAAACAGACATCTTGTGAGCAAGATTATTATAGTATATGCAAATATCCTTGAATTCCTAGAATTAACCTGGAGGTTAACAGTACATTGTGTCTACATGCCTCTAATAGACCAAGAAGAATTCAGTCTGTTTCAAATTTTATTTGTAACATGAAAGGCAGTCTAAGTATGATATAAATATTGGGTCACATGGGAACTCCACAACTAGAGCCACTGCTTGTTTGTTTTTTTCAGGTACTCTAAATCTTGATCTCCTTTTTTTTTTTAAAGATTTATTTATTTGTGCATACAGAACTGGGGTACAGGCCGGAGACTCAGGGGCGGTGAGAGGCTTCACCAGAGACAGAGTGGGGAGCAGAACAGGCAGATCTACGAAGTACACTGCTGAGGGGAGCAGCGGGCGGGTCAGGAGAGGTCTGCCGCGCCATGTGGTCACCTCCAGGGCAGGCGGGAATCGAACTCATGCGGAAGCGGCTTTAGATTCTCAGTGCTGTGTTTTAACCCGCTGCGCCATCAGGGAGGGCCTTGATCTCCTTTTTAAGGTATTCTGCAGTAATTGTTGAACTATTTAGGTAATTATTGAATTAGGGAATTATTTAGATGTTTAGTAATCAGAAGAATTTGATGTATACCAACAACCTGAGCTAAATTACGTTTATTTCAAGGCTACACCCTACAGCTACAGAATACCCCATTTTTAAGTTCACATGGAACATTCATCAAGCTAGACCATATAGTGAGCCATAAAATAAGTCTCAACTAATTTCTGGGGATTAGAATCATATGAAAGGTGGCATAGTAGATGTCAGTAATCCCTAAATATTTGGATAGTAAGTGAAACAAATCTAACATGAGACAAAGAAGATAGCATGAAAGAAATTAGAGTTATTTCAATTTGGATGAAAGTGAGACTAAATTTATCAAACTTTGTGGGTGCAGAGAATAGTGGGAAATAGATATCTAAAGTACTTGTATTACACACTTAACAGCGGGTCATTCACCATATTATTAACATCACCATATTATCCACCATATTATTAACAATTAACTATGTAATTATTAAATATAGATGCAGAAAGAAGTTGACAAAAATTCCATGTTCATTCATGATAAAAACTCTCACCAGAGTAGAAATAAAAAGAATTTCCTCTATTTGATAATGTACACTTGCGGGAAGCCACAGCTGATGTCATAGTTAATGATGAACTATTATATGCATTTCCTCTAATGTTGGAAATGAACCAAAGACATTTGCTGTCACCATTTCTATCTCCCATTATACTGGAAGTCTTAGCAGGTGCCATAACTTAAAGGGGATTTAAAAAAAAATATGTAACATTGTTGTGCTTAGCAGATCACATGTATGTACATAGCCACTTGGAATTGTGCATAAAAAGACGCTACTGTAAATAACACGTGAATTTTTTAAAGGCATATATGCCAAGTCTTTATACAAAAGTAAGTCCTAATTGTATATCCTAGCAACAAAGGAAAAAATGAAATTTCAAAAAGCAGTGCTACTTACATGAGTAATACAGAAATATCAAGTACATAGAAAACAATCTAACAACAGATGTTTAAGACTTCCATACTGACAACCATAAATCAGTCATTGCTGAGATTTTGAATGACCTGGTAGTGGGAGAAATGTACTAGATACCGATTTTGAACATCTCAATGTTAAGAAATTCATTGTTCACAAATTAACTGATGGAGTTAATGCAATCAATATCAAAATGTCATCGGGCCTTAGGGGATAAAAGGACAAGCTTATTCTAAAATGTATAAGGAAAGGCAAAGAGTCTAACAAAAGAATTTCAAAGATTTGGAAATGCAGTGTTATAGACCAACATTATCTCAATAAGCAATGTTGTGGAAAAATATGGAGGTCTTACACACCTGAGTAATGAACACAGGGTGAGGTTGGTGTGAGTGTAGAAAGATACTCAGAGACCCACATACACATAACTAATGTTAACTTGAAGTCCTCAGTCAACCACATGGGGCACAGAAAGTTGTTAATTTAACATGGTTCTGGCCCAACTGGGTACTCATATAGAAAGAAAGAAATGAATCTCAACACCTATACATCACTCACTCCTACACAAAAATTAATTTGAATTGCATCATAGACCGAAACATCAGAGCTATAATCAAAGATTCTGAAAGCAAACACAGCTTTGAAGAGTTCACAATTTCTTACATACATGGGGTAGGAAAGTACTAAACATAAAAAGAATAACATCAGGGAAATACGAAGAAACATTGCATGTACTAATGGGTCACTTTAAACTTTTATACAACGGAGAGAACAATGGAGATAGTAACACTTTGGACAGTTTCAAATGCCAGAGAGTTAGACTGAATCCTGTCTCCCCAAAATTAACTCAGTTGAGTTTTACATTGAAGAGTAGATTTGAAAATCACCATGGCTAGCTTTCTACCATCTTATGTTTATTTAAATGGTTAATGAAAGAAAAGAGCAAGCACTGTTAAAAAATGAACAATGGGAAAAAAATGAACAGTGATATAAAATCTATAAGCACAAATAAAAAACAAAGGTAGAACTATTGCATTGCATAAATAGGAATGTGTGCTTTAGTTCAGCTGATCTGTGGGTCTGGAAAAAATATAAATGGTTAATGAGAGATAGGGTGATGTGAGTCCCTTTAAAATGTGTGCTCACAGAGCTGTTTAAATGGACTCAAATCACTGTTATGAAGCAGTCTTAAAAAGCCAATAAATCTGTGCAATAGGAGTGCAGTCGATACTAGAAAAACAATGATCTTCCTTGTGCTCAGGTGTCCAAAATTCAAAAACGAGAACACCAATATTGGCACTCATGTTTGCCACTGGGGAGTTTCAAGCGAGATGTTCTCTAATTTCCATGCTCCTCACTGGACATGTACAGCCAGGTGTCCTCAGAGCTAATTCAGGACAAAGTTCATTACATTAAATGCACAGCTGCCTGTAAGGTAGGACATGTAAAACAACATTTTTGATCAGTTTACTTTCAATGGTCCCATTGCTCTCTTTTGTCACAGTAGACCTAGGCAGGGTGCCGCCCTTTGAAAAGTCCATGGCTGAACAGCAACTTAAATCTACTTTGGCCCTGTTTCATTTCAGGCAGTAAAGGACTTGCTATGTACAATTGTTAACGTACATGCACTTTATTTAGAAAAAAATCATATTCCTTTTTAGTCATTATTATTTATTTTTATCAGTTCAATTTTTTAAAATCCTTTTCACTTTTGTAGTGCATTTGGGAGAGTTGAACTACAGCATATGGATAGTGCACCAGCATTGAAACCATTTATGACTTCCCTGTGTGGTGTGCTAGTAGATGAAGGGACTAGCTTCCTTCTTCTGTAGAAAGTTCTGACTTAAGATCTTTTGAAAATAGACATTACTTTCAAATAACATGCGTTTATGACATGTTAAATTCACAAATTAATACTAGTATACTTTGGTTGAATGCTGTAATATCAAGTGGTTCTCATGTTACGTTACATAGCGCAAAATTGTACAAATATATTGTAATGTCTGTCCTTTACTAGATTGGGAAATTACCATTGTCTACATATGCCTGTCAACAGCAGTTAGGTTTAGAAATAGATGATTTTACTTGGAATCTGAGAAATAGAACGTGAAGGTTTCTCCGATATTTATGTGCTCAACATCTTTCATTTTACCTACACATACATCGGCCAATTCATACACCATTCTTGAAATCTGGTTGTAGAAGATGTGAATTGTTTCTTTTTAGCTTCCACTAAAGTTGTATCATTCCTAAAATAGATGCCATTGACAAATAACTATGTAAAGAATAAAGACTTTCATATCAAAACTCCCAACCAAAAGACATCACCTCTGAGTTTAGGCTGGCCCTCTTCATCCTCGCACTCCGTGCCATAACAGACAGCATATCTGACTGTAAAAGTCACATGAGTATTAACCTCATTCTTCATTATTTTGTAGATGCTGCTCTGAGTAACACAAGGAAAGTAAGTTCCCCTTGAACTAAAGGAGCATGGAATAGACGTAAAAATAAGATTTCCTATGGAGATGTGGGCTAGATTACATGCGTAAAAAGTGTCACAGCACAAGATCAGGGTGTTCCTACGCTGCGCGTGATAGTCAGCGTTTCTTCGGCCTGAGGTCGGCTTCGTCATTCCCACCGAGTGTCATTCTTGCCAGAAGTCATCTTCGCTCCTTCCGCTCTCGCCAGGTGAAAAATGCATTGTTGTTTTGTGTCCCAGGAGGATGTTTCATGGCATACATTCCAGTTCCATCTGAACTGAATTCAGGATTCAGTTCTGAAAGCTGGGAATCTATTGTTTTGAACACTTGCAGGTAAAAAAACAAAACAAAACAAAAAACGTTACCTGTAATGTTTTGGGTAACGCTTCAGAGCAAAACAGAAAAGAAACCCAAAGAGTACAGAGATAATCAGATTTGTAACCCCCTTTGCTAATTGATAGTTTATTTTATTATTTAATTTGTTACCTTCGTGAGGACAGTCTACCAAAGGGATATGTTCTGAAAGGCCTCTTTTGCACATTGATTGGTCTGTAGGTTTCTCAGAGCTGTCTTATGGTTCTAAAACCAGCCAAGCTAGAAACTCCTGGATGTATTATCGAGGTTTAGGAAATGGTTGTGCATTGAAATTTCAAGATATATGTCACAGCTTTTAAGTTAAATATTCATATTTGCACAAAGGGTGTTCCTGTAGCAAAACTTTACTTTCCAGTGTCTTCACTTGCTTTTGAGTTTTTGAGAAAAATTTCTTCTTGTCAAGGTTTTCTTAAGTTAGATTTTATTTCTTCCTAGGGTTTGTCTTTGATAATACATGTCCAGATGCCTTTCTTTTAAAGATGCAAACAGTGTGATCACTTTTTCAAAACCCAGGGCCAGCTGTGGTGTGCAGTATTGAATTTATGCTTTTAGTATTTTTATTTTAAAGTACTGCAGACAATAGTTTGAAATTGCTGCATTCAGACTCATGGACTGTTGCGTTTTACTATCAAGTTGGCAAATTAGGTGCATGGTTTTGATGATTGATTTTACAATAAATAATAATAACTAACACATAAATAATTTATCTTTTTAATAGCTGCGTGTATCATGCCAAGATCATAGCTCATGCCAGTGTTATCATTTGATGTAACAATTTGTATGACAAACTTATATTTTATTCAAAGTTACCTGCAAATTATAAATCTTCTATCCAGTTGTTGGGGTTTATGGTGGCTGATTTATAACTCACTTATTAAATGTCCATAGATTTGATATTTCACTTAATGCTTCTGCAAACGTAACAAAATAACAGCAAAATTAAATTTAAAGGTAGTTATTTTGTGTGCTGATCCTGCGGTTAAAAGAATTAGGAGATAAATTTTTTGACTAATGATGCCCCTCTGCAGAAAACATTTTAATTTCGTAGTACTAAGCTCGGGATTTTAATCAGTTAAGACAGTATTGAGTTCAATGGATTGAAGCATACAATTAAGGCTTTTTAATGTTTTAATCACTGTACAATGAATGCTATATTTGTATATGTATTTGTACATGTAACAGCATTGTATTAATTGTATTGGGCTATAAATGTGTTACTGTAAAACATAGCAGCAATGTCCCTTTAAGTCTTCAAATTTTAATTACATTCTAAATGTACTTACAAGGTATATGTACTTGCATTAACTCCACATTAAAAATATCCAACCTTAAATTCATTGATCTTTTTTCATTGTAGTATAATATCGACTACCCACTGAAAATTTCTTTTCTCTCATTTATTAGTGATACACTGAAGTCACCATAAGCATACTGAGTGAGATGTTTAAATGCAGCTTTGCCTCATGATTCTCTGAGAGAATGACAGAGGAATAGAGAATTGGGACCAGGGCAAGAGTAAAATATGTTGCCCCAAATGTTTCTTCATATACAGCTGTAGGCTAGCAGTGACAGAGCTATCAGGGACTAGAATCATCTCTGTATGTTCCATATAGTGGTGCCCGAGGAAGCTGGACAGAACCTAGATCCTTCACCATTGTTTGCCTTTGCAAAGGGCTTGCATTTGGCTTCCCCAGACTTAACAGTCTTTTCCAGTTCACTAAAGAGCCAGAACTTGTTCAGAACACAGAGGGAGTGGGTTGCCAAACACTTATCAGTTTGGTTTGAGTGAAACCATATTTTAAAAACAGATAGATTTAGATGTCTTAATGGACATTCCCTTCACAGGATTGACTCTTTTCCCTTTAAATTTATTCATTTATTCATTTTAATATATTTATTTATATAGATATTTTTGACGTCATTCACTTTTGTACATTTCATTTCCACTGGCTGTCGTCCCCGTAATATTCTCCACCATGTCACCGGTGAACATCCCCGTAGTCTCTTGTGCTCTTCCCTTCTGCCTTTAAATTAATGTTGAGTTCATTTGAGGAAGCACCGATCAGCAAACTAGTTAATAACTTAATCCACTTCCAAGGAACTCCTTGAACATTAAAATGTATATTCGAGTTTTTCTTCCTATATTGGCTGAGAAATAAATACTGTTGCCACTTTCCATGGTACATCTGAGTCTCACAATATAGAACATATGGTAGGTAATAAAGCCACTTATATAGCAGAGCTACAATGTTCTCTCCAAAAGAGAAAATTTCCAAGAGTGTTTTTTAAAATGTAAGGAAACATAAGAAATGTTCCGCTTGGAGAAAAACTAAGTTAGTGATTTTGTTTTGCGTTTAGTCAGAAATCATTCCATTTTTCACTCAACAAACATTAGTAGGCACTAGATTACAAGAACCTCCTTCCCATAAAGGACTCTAGAGTATAAAGTCCCATAAAGGACTCTAGAGTATTTAATGAGTCAACTCTCAAGCAATTAATTGGCACTAAAGCTGTTTTTCTACCACTCTACTCCTACACGGATCTGGAAAGGTCATTTTGCAAATCGTTTGCAAATCGCCCTGAGGGGCCTGCTCAGGACTGGCTAGTGCTCAGCATAAACCATTGTAGAGACACAGCCCTCGTCCTTTATATGCTCAGAAGGAAACAACACAAGTGGCAACAGGCTTTTAAAAATGTGATTCCCTTTTTGTTGTGTGTACGTGCTGTGTCGAAGGCATGTCATATCTGAGTCTGACACCGTCCCTCCACTGGGTGAGGCCTGCCGACTATTTGCTCAGCCCTCGTTTCACATGTACAGATTAGCATATTAAGTTTTGGTGCGATGGTTCCGATCTAGGGCCACCAGAGAGGCTAATAATATGTATTAAACATGGTAGATGAAGTTGGACTTTGTGAAGATGTAGTCCTTATGCTAACTGACATTTTCCTTAAACCCAAAAAGATATTATGCACCATTTTAAAGATACAGTTCAGCTAGATATTTGTAAGGCAGACTCACTTGTTGATCACCACCAAGAAAACCCAAACACTTAACTGGAAATAGCATCATCATGGAACAGGGGAAGGCAGGAGAGCAAGTTCAAAAAATGTGCAGCGTGAAAAGCACTTTCTGTGCTGAAGGTTATCCCAGTAAATTGTCTGTTTGATGGCGAATGTGCTCTTTTACATGGCAAGCTGTGGGAAATCAAATGAGAACAGGTAAAATATTGGCAGCCAACTGAACAGTAACTCGTTGACCAAAAAAAAAATGATTTAAATGGGCAACATGCAGGGTAGTTTGGGATCTAATATTGCATAAGCTAGCATGTTCTCTTTACTGACCTCAGGAGGACGCAGGACCATTCCTAGACATTTACAACTAGTTTCAAAATTATTGAAAGCAAAACAGGCATGTTCATATAAGCCTTAGTAGCTTCCCATCGTCCTATATTTCTAAAAATCCCAAGCTGTACGAAGGACTTGAAACAAGAACTCTTACACACTGTTGCTGCGAGCCTAAGTTGGTAAAGTGCTTTGGTTAGCAATTTGCTAATGTTGGGTAAAGTTGAAATGAATTTGGCATGGCCAAGTGTCTGCCGTAGAGAAATACTCATGTGTGCTCAAGGACACATAGGTGCCGGAATGTTTATAGCACCGCTGTTTGGAAAAGTGAAAAAAATTGAAGGTAAGATGAAAGAACCTGAGCAGAAAGAACAGAGAACTAGGTTAGGGAATATCCTCCAATAAAACATTAAAGTAAAAATGGTAGAGAGGGTCATATGCAGAACAAGGAGAGCCGGGAGGGCGCACGGAGGTTTGTGTTGGTACTTGGGAATTCATGATACTATTTTTTCATGCATTTTTCTATTCCAGGCACTTCACACTGTAAAAACTTCTGCTCCTTTTAATTCAGTGCCACGGGAAAAGCCGACTAGCCTGTCATATCCCCTGGTTATTAAAATGTCATGAAACCCTGCCCCAAATGTACCTACCATCCATCCCTGTTGGAAATTGTTTTAATTTTTTCAAGTTGCCTGAAAATAACAGTCAAGAAATCTTTTTCATTTTTTTGATCAGTGTCTTACAAATTACTAGGAACTAACGTCCCAGCAGAAAACTACCCGAGAATAAACTTTCATTGACTTAATGTGTGAATGTGTCATGTAGGAGAAATATTTGTGTTTAAGAAATGTTATGTTTACAACATAAAATAACTGTCACCATCTGAGAACAACTTTAAGGATCTGATTCTGGAATATTTCTCTCATGAACACACTGTTTTTTAAATCACTTTATATTTAATTTACAGTTTGTTTTGTGCTGATCCACAACAACAGGCCATCTGGCCCGTACAAACGATGCGTTAGTAATCAAAGAAGATTGTGGCGGTGGCTGGATTAGTAAAGGTTAGACAAAGGGGTCTCATATAGGTACAGCAGCACTTGTCACTACCTGCGGCTGAAACAGTCCTACCACACCAGAGACCCACGCCCTTCCTGGTGCCTGCTGCACCGGAGACCCAGCCCCCAGAGGCTGCTGTGGGCAGCACAGGGGGCCGCGCATGGTGGAATGCACCGCCCACCTCAAGTGGCCCTAAGGAACCCAGGTTGCAGGCCGAGCACAGCAGTGATGTGGGCAGCAGCGGTCCCCCTAGCAAGCCGCCCCGGCCGTGCAGCTCTTGGGGTCTTAAGGGGCCAGCCCCAGAGCGTGGCTGCTCTCTCTTCAGGCCCCAGGGAGGCCTGTGGATTCGGTGCCTGGATCGCGGAATGGAGCCACCAGGTGCAACTTTGAGCTGATGGGTAACCGTCCTGAAACCGGTCCAATCAGACTGGTGCGGGGGCCGGGGGCCGAGAGAGGACATAAGGCAGGGCAGGAGCCAGGCTGGGATTCCCTGGTTCGCTGGGGCTTAGGCTCTTTGTCTCTGACCTCTGAAGGATGAAGAGAAGCTCATAGAGAAAGCAAAGAGCTTCTCAGTGTCCTGGGTTGCTGTACCTGCCACCACCTGCCTCTCCATACCCCAAGGGAGCACCAAATGCTCAGGCCTGGTCTCGAATTGCTGTTTGATGTTGGTGTGGGCTAATGACTTAGAAAGAACTGTTAACACGGTGAGTGACACCTCAGCCTTCTAATGCCTAGTCGTAGCCAGTGCTATTGGCCACCGCTGACCAGCATGGTGGCCGGGTGACCAGCGCTCCGTGTCCAGGTCATCCCTGACAGCTGTTAAACATCCCGCACCACCCCTGGGTCTGCTTCCTCCGTTGCGGTCTGTTCCAGATCTGGTATTGTCCATTCCGGCCTTCAGACCGTGGCTGGGGGTGCTGTGTGTCCCAGCGGCCCCTGTGAGCGCCTCCAGCTGCAGTGAGTTGAATTCTGCCGGCTGCCTCCCGCCTCGGCGCTCCGGGCCCTGGTTGGCGGGACGGCGCCATCTTGGAGGAGCGGCCTTTGGTTGGGGCTTCTGGACACCGCGAGCACTCTCCGGGGGTGAGCTCGCGGCCCCTGTGGCCTTAGACCCTCTTATTTCCCGTTTGTTAAATAAACCCCGTTGCTGTTCCCTGAGCCTGAGGGCTCTTGTGATTGTGCACGGGGGTGAGGACCCACAGAGTGGCCTGTCTTCTGCTGGCTGCTGTCTCTTGGAGATTATAACACTGGCTATGGCTGTGTTTCACTACTGCGATATATTTCAAGCTTCCAACTTGAAGTCACTGAACCTGGAATTAAAGGGAGATGTGTGTGCATTTGTGGGTTGGTGTAAGGCACTTTCAGTACTTGGCTGATTTTGTCTCATTGCTAATTTTCGTAGGGAATAGATACTGTGTTAACCCCCTAGTGTTCAGTAGAATTCCTTACTAGAATGTGCTAAGATTTCTGAAGTATAACCCATGCCAGGTCATGTGTAGTTATCCTTTTAGTGTCTATGTTACTGCTTTTCCATTTTCCAAATAGAAAGCAGAAGTTCTGATCTTTAGCAGCGTTATCTGGGAATGGAAATAGTGAGCACAGACCATGGAAACAGTGGGAGGCACATTAGAGAATTTAAATTCCTGCAGCCAACAGCAGTTTGACTCAGATATAAAACCTCAAAATCCAAGTGAAATCCAAGAGCTGGCAGTATATAAACAAGGTGCTTCTGCAAAACAGCCACTGAAGTGAGGTTATAAAGCACAGACCAGAGAGAAATCCAACTTCGGTAGGACCCAAAGACAAAGGCCATCAATGTCAGCCAGCGACAAAAACACTGGAGCTGTAATGGTGGTCTTCTGAGCCAGTCTGCTTCGCCTTCCTTGGATATTAGCAATAGCTCCTCTTTATCTCCT